GTCACACATTTAGCCTGAGCATGACACACATTTTTCCCCCCTTCAGTGTGCCTGTACTGCAAAAGGTTCTGTTTCATGACACTGAACCTCCTAATAACCTTGCCAACTCACTGAGTCCATGAAAATCTACAGCAGCCTTAAGTGGTGAACAAAGAGGGGGATGAGTTAGGTGTTGTGTTGGAAATAAAGTGCAAGGAAAAGTGCTGGAAGAGAAAAGAAAACAAAAAAGGGAAAGAATGTTAAACTACATTTTTAGTTCTGCATGGTGTTGCACAGGCTTAACGGTGCAAGCATTTTACTCCTATGTGAGTAACAATCAGAATGTGCAAGTGGGAAAAATTACTTGGGCACACAGGTGTGACTGACCACATTCCTTGGGTTCTCTGTAAGGACTGGGAGTATTTTATCAGCACTTAAGAGGCCAGTGAGTGACATTAGTGGATTGGAAAATATGGTTTTGGTGACTATGGAGCAGCTTCTCTGCTGTGTGTTTTCGTGTTTGACTGAGGCCGGGGTTCAGCTCCTCTACACACAGTGGACAGCAGCTGAGTGGCCACGGTGCAGACAGGGAGGTAGGTGAAGTAAAACATTACTTGAGGTGACCTCACTGATTGGTACTCTATGTGCAATAAAACCACCACAAGTAAGAGCAATTTATCAAAACAGCCACTAAATGAGCATAAATTTGCAGAGAAATGACCATTTCAACATTGCCCACAGCCTGTCATCCACTGCTGGTTTGTGTCAACCATAGCATGCGTGTTAAGATAACAGCTAATAGCTAACTGTTTAGATGTGGCCATGTCATGGTGATCAGCCTTGGCTCTATGTGGCTGTTAGCCCCATCTCCCAGAAACAGTCAGACACAGCGGCGCACTACACCAGTGGTAGTATTAAACTACTGCTTGGCAACTTCAGATCAAGAAGACAACACCAAAAAAAACATTCCATTTGGGCCTCCAGGTTGTTTGCCCATCTCCGTTGTTGTGTAATGCACAGGTGAAAGCTCTCGCTGTTGGTGCTCATAAGGCTTCAGGTTCCTAGCACCATCCATCCTTTTGCCACAGAGCAGAAGCAGGTCAAAACTATTTAGATTTCTGCTTCCCCATGAGAGTTTCTCTCAGCAGATTTTGGGTTGCAGATGAGGGAGATGGAGTACAGGACTCGGTGCCACTGTACAATTACAGCATGGCCACTGGAAGAAACTGGGATTTCTCTCTCTCTCTCTCTCTGTCTCACACACACACACACAAACTACATTAACTACAACTAGGATATCACAGCCGAATCTTTTACCAAACTGCTGAGTTGCATTGTGGCTAACGTAGGCAACTAGTTTTTGGCTAAGAAGAATTATTAATGGATTAAAAGACGATATCTCTGGTTCTGCCATGATTTAGACACATGACCCTGACGATATTACAAGAGCGTGGTGATAAATCAGAAGAGTGCTCTTTTAAAAGGGGACAAAGAGCACAACCTTGCTGTATGGAAGACAGGCATGTTGGAATTCTGCTACTTTCCACCTCACTTTTCAGCTATCCTTGAAGTCCAACCAGAACAACACATCTTTCTTCTGAAAGCTGCTTTAGGGCTGAGTAGAGGCTGGGGTCAAAGTATGAACAATTTGACTGGTGTACGGAGAAACACATACCATACACAGTCAGATGTTAAAGAGATCAGGGCAAGAGCAGAAGATAACTTATTACATTGTTGTCAAATGCAGTTAAATGCAGTCAACTGCAGCAGCCCTGTATGGACCCTAAAGCTGTTACTACACAGCTCAAAAAGTATTACAGCATTAATTATGGCAGTCAGGTTTAGAGACGTCAAAAGAAGTGTCTACTTTGCTATGAGGCATCTGGCTATAATGTGCCAACCAAATGTCATATGATATGACCAGAGAGCCCCAGTGCGGAAGTGTGGAGTGAACTAAGGAATATTAAATGAATAGGAGCTGGAGAGCAGTGTGTGGGACTCGGGCTGAAAACAGGATACAGCAGTAAACCAGAGGTCACAGAGAGGAGGGAACGACCCTGTTGTACGTTGTCTCTCTGTCACTCTCTCACACACACCCAGACACTCTTCCACTACAAGTTAAAAAAAAAAGCAGGCTGTTAATGTTTGTCCAAAAGCATTGCCACATCATGCCACCTTCCTCAGTGACCGGCCCACACCCCCCAACATGAGTCCTTGTGCACACATATAGACACACACCCACACACCTCATTAACCTATACAAGGATGGTGTCACACATTGGCAGTAACTGCTCAACTACATCGCAGACCTGGCCTCCCCTCCTCTCTGACACCTCATGAGTAGTCTGATTTTACATAAGCTCCCACTATGTGAGGACAATAAACCATACTTCCACAGCATGAGTTCCATTACCCACAGATGGTAGATGCAATACATTTATTCTAATGATCCTAAAAAACACAAGCAACTCCTCTGTGAGTACAACCAAGACATCATGGCAGTTCAATGTTATTTTACACCTTCAGTTGTTAAGGCCATATGGGAAACATCAAGCTGAGCCAACCATATTCTAAGCAACATCTTCATTCTTTAGTCAATATCACCTCTGTTTTAATTACAGTATTTACAGGGAAAACAAAGTTAGGGATAAACACCAGGGCCAACCATATGGGCAAGAATGTTCTTCCAGGTTGTGCAACCTGCGTAAAATCTTCTTAAACATGTAGTCAATACCACATGTAAGTGTGTACATATATCTTCCTGTGTTACACAGCTCAAAGATATTAGCTACTGAAGTTGCCCGGTTTAGGATGAAATTGAAATGGTTTTGTACAGTGGTGTTGGGGCCAGTGAGAAACTAAACAAACAGTCCAGTGGAAATGTAGAAGAGCCACAAAAAAGCAGGGGGAGGCAGGGGTAGGGGTGTATCCAGCATAGCTAAAATGCCTGCTGAAGTGAAGCACAAGTTTCACTCTGCAGCTTCCTCCACTGCTTTCAACCACATCACGGTTGCCACTGCAAAGGAATGTCATTCAGCTCTTCATCTGTACATGACAACTGTCACACCTTGTCTGTCAGTCAGTCACTGAGGTAGTAGGTAGGTACAAAAACACAGCAGTCAGCTGGAGCTCAGGGTGACGTACAGAGGGAGTACGCACACCCACTATGTGTAGGGGTGTGTCTATAACCACGTCCAAGGGTCTTAAACAGAATAGAGAGTAATTTGGCCCATGCTGTATTGCAGAAGAAAAGGCTCAGGACATAACAAGCACAGTTGGTTGAAACACCCCACTGTCAGGTCTCTTATCAGCAGAATAAAGACTACTGCTCAATGTCTGATAGTGCTTGGCTGTCCTAAGAAACCCCTGCTCTTATCAACCTGGGAGGTGGGTCTTCTCACAAGCAATGTATAGGCACTTCAAAAACACACCGCCTACGCTGAGTAACACACAAAAAATTCCAATGTACCTTTGTGCTATACTTGTGCAAATGGAAATAAACTCTCTTCTGTTCCACTCAACAGCCAGCAGCTTTGTCACAAAACTACAAAATGATATAAATGACAACTGTCTTTATATATCAACTAGTTTGGCCATTGTTATTACAAATTAACTAAGAGATCATGTGAGAGCATGCAATTTTAAAAAGTTTAAATTGTGTGCACAAGAACCACAATAGCAATTGTAATCTCTGCCTGAAGATAAACTTGTTAAGGAGTAAAATAAGTCTTCCATCTTCTATAAGCCCCCCCAGGAGGGTACAGGAATAGAGGATGTGAGATAAGGATACTGCATGAGGAGAAACAGATACATGATGGTGCTGCTAATGGCTTATAACAACAGGATTTTAGTTATTGTATTTGGCCTGTTAATTTGACCCAACTTAGTAACACTGTCAGTCAATTAAAGCATTTAAAAATTCTTATTGCATCATAAGTCATAATACATTCAGATCTGAACACATGGACATGATACACATATTTTTAGAATCAGTGTATGCCAAATGCTGCCAATTTGCCAAAATATAAACAAATTGTTCTGTTGAATACAAAAGCTGAAGTGCACAGCATAATTCACTGAATCCACAGTTAATATTCATACTTCCTGTTTACATCCCCAAAACACCACACAATCTGTGGATCTAAAACTTGAAGCATGATTATCTTCAAAGTGAAGCAATACTAGAAGTGGCAAAAATCTATCAACTATTCATGCTACACTATCAGTATGGTGGGGGCTCAGAGGTATCACCCCTTAGTTGTCAAACCCCTGCTAGGACTGTTAAAGAAACTAAACGACAGAGGTTTGGTTGGTCAACAAGTGCAAGCTTCCCAGAAGTGCACGACAAACTGAAACATCTAATAATGTTTAATAGGCCGCCTACCCACATACGAAGTACGAGATGGTGCCACTGTTTTGCAGTCTGCATATCTAGTAGACACTGAATGGAAACCACACAGAAATTTCATGCACTAGATCATTTCTGCTCACTTGTGCCATCTATGTAAAACAATGAACTAATGATTACTGTGGAAAGGAAGCAAATGTCACAACAACACATCGATAAGACCATGGGTCACACGTACACATATGGTCATATTTTGCCATTTACAGACAAAATAAAATTGTAACACATTAACTTTATCTTTCTTTTAATCCCCAATTTTAAATATTAAACCTTTACCATAATGTGGCCCTGGATTACATTTGTATTTACACACAGTTTCAGAAATCCAAAAGAATGATAAAGCAACATAATATCTACAATATAAAAAGTTAATCAGTGCTCTAAAACCCTTTGTAAACACTTGACTGGGGCGAGCTTGATGAGAGTGGAAACCATATCACAAAAGTGTCAACACATAATCAAACACTTTCCACTATGTTTGTATTAGAAAGTCTTTTTCTGGAGCAGGGAATATCTTATTTAAAGGTCAGGCATGAAGCGCATTTATAAAGTAGCCAGGAGTAGCTTGAGGTTAATAGAAAACTAAACTAACACTATGCAGCTTTGTAGCAACTAGCACCAAATCTTTGATGATTGCAGTGAAGGACATCATCTCAGACACTGTACTGGAGGTTGACTGCTACAGGAAAGGAGGAAAGGACCTGCTAATAAAATGTAACTGAATACTTCCATGCACATAATATAAACACAAGGAATCACAGTATTACAGGAGGCATGTGTATGCTCAACAAGTTGTTGCCTGTGCAGGGGAGGCCACGGATGCTTGTCAAGTATGCTGCACTCCCTTTAGTTTTTAGCCTCAAAAGCAACAAAATTACATTTACTTCCTGTGCACTACATCTTCCTTTGGCCAAATCCTCTCTCTATATCTCCCTGAACTCTTTCCACCTTCTTGTGATCACAGCAAATGGCCACACATCTGCTGTAAAATGCCTCTCCCGTCTGCACAACGAGACAGGTGCAGTTAGATGCTAGTGATGGCTCAAATTGTGTGTATTACAGATAATGCTGCACAGAAATGGGGATAAGGACAGATAACATTAAGATCCAGAAATTTGTTACCTGTCCTCCTCGCCGTCGACAGGTATGTGGATTCCAAACAGGCTGTTGACAGTCGGAGTGGTGAGCTGCAGGCTCTCAGGCATGATGGGCTTCAACGGTTCCTTTCCAGAAACAACAGGAGACTGTGTGTTGATAAGACCCTCTGACTTCCTTCCACTACCACCCTCCACCTGTCCAAATCCAGTTGCTGGGAGGCCCTGCGCCCCCAAAGCCACTGGAGTCATGTTGTGGGGTAGGTGACCTGGAGGCAAACTGGAGGTTGTCACATTTGGCATGGCTGCACTGGAGGCACTGGGCATGGCAGTGGGCAAAGTGGAGGGCACACTAGAGCTCACTGCGATGGCAGGCACATTTTGTATACCAGAGGATGGTGGGTGGACACTGTGGGGTTGAAGCTGCCCAGCAGCTGCATACTGACTCGCAGTCTGCTGCTGCAAAGGGGATCCACCAACCAATATGGAACCTACAACACCTCCCATTACAGTCTGCTGCTGCAAGAGGCCGGGAGCTGGTTGTCTAATAGGTTCAGACCCTCCGACAGCTCCGGCAACATCTCCAACCTGACTTGGCACAGTAGCCCCTCCAAGGACTGGAGGCAAGACCGAAGTGGGTACTTGTCCCACAGGCTGCGGGCCTGCAGAGACGCTAGACACTGGGATGGGCTGGCCAGTGGAAAGCGCCGGGTGCATGGAAGCTGGCTGTTGCTGCTGATAGTACTCAGTCTGGTTCTGCACCAGTCCAGACAGCTGGCTGGTCAGGTGATGGCCCACGGGAAGCTGCGGTTGCTGTTGGGGAGGGTATGCAATGGGCTGGGATGAGGGAGGCATAATAGGGGACTTCTGAATGTGGACACCAGATTGGGGTAGGCTGTTCTGTCCCACAGGCAGCACACTCTGGGGAGCAGAAGGCTGGAGACCTTCCACTGACAGCTGAGCTGGAACAGCTGCAGGTTTGCTGCTGGAGAACATTCTCTGTGTGGCTGACTCACTAACACCCTGCTGTCGGGTGCTATAGTTTTGATAATGGATTTGTTGCTGCTGCGGTAGTGTTTCCACTGAATGCTTGCGGGCAGTAGAGAGAGAAGCATCTGCCAAGGAGCCCACACCCTGACCTGAGTGTGTTGCTGGGGCAACCACAGAGCCTCCTGTAAGCCCCAACCCACTGTCTCTGTCTGCAGCAGGGTCCAGTGTTGCGCTGGAATGTCTAATGCTATCTACAGTCCTACTAACAGAGCTCTCAGTGTCTTTCTCATAAAATTCTGTACATGTCCACCTGCCTCTTCGAAAGGGTTCTCCAGTACCATGATCGAGTTTGATGACCCTGAAGCGTGAAGTGCAACTCACCGTGGTGGTGGCAGGAGGAGCTGAACTGCTCAGTGCAGCAGGTTGGGATGCGTTCACTGACACACTGACTGGTCCAGCGCTTACTGCTGGAGCAGGCTGTTGCTGTATTGCCCCAGGCTGGGTGACAAGGGGTAAGCTGGCTGTAACACCAATCCCCGGCGGCTGCTTCCCACCTTGAGTTGAACCCGATATTCCAACTTTTCGAAACTCCCCAATGGGATTGTTTGATTGCGCAGGCAAGTGAGCCGCTTCAGGTATGTGTGACGAGGCCGTAACACTGAGTGCGTCTGGCTCTCCAACATTATTCTGGGCTTCTTCAGATGAGCTTCCGTCACATGCGGGCTCGTACTCAGCCCGTGACATGTCGTATATTTCCGACGACACGTCTTCAGTCCGTGACTCGTCTGGGTCATCCAGGCTCTCCGTGTCGTCGGCGGCACCTGTAGCCGCCACCTGGGCCTGAGTCACGCTTGTAATCTGAAAGCAGCTCTTTTTCTTGGCCGGCATTTTCGACATACTGACAGCCTGGCACTGTATGGCTATGTTTATCCTCCGCGAAAAAGGGACGAGGTGGTAGCAGCTGCTAAAGGCTTAGATCATACTAAACAGCGCACTTGCATCTGTTTTACTTAGTCTAGCTAACTATAATCAAGATGAATCTGCGCCATCCCTCTTCCTCTCTCAGTCTCCTGTTGCGTTTCATGAGCTCATAACGCAACGCCACACTTCGTGTCTTCTTGTCCAGCAATGCGGGTTTAGACACTGATGCCAGAAGCCTGTACGGTGTTTCCAATGCCTTCGGTAAGTCCGGACAGACCTGCTAATGTCCCCGTTGTGCAGTTATCACACGGTCCTTATCGCAGCCTGTGTTGCCCCGCTGCGGGAGCTACTTTAGGCTGAGGAGGGCCCGCAGCCCTCCACTCACTCAGCTAGCTAGCAAGTCAAGACAACTGGCTGCTCCACACTCCCACTACGTCGGAACAAGTATATGTGAGACATTTTGCACAAAGCACCACTCAGTTCACTACCGTAAAGTCACCCGGTGGCGATACTTACTATAAAGCTTACTGCGACCGAAGGAGGAAAACGCCCTTAAATTTCACGTTTTAATACGCGCGAGAACCTAAACAGCGCCTACTACTCCCTCCCTCGCTCGCTCGCTCAGTCCCTCTTGACAAGATGGCTATGTTGTATGAGAGCGCGCTGCATCGTGGGTACCTTTTCTTGCTTGTTTGCTTGCTTTTTGTGTTTAAAAGGCGGGTGGCAAACCAACTTTCAAGTGCACTACTGCCACCTACTGGACTGGAGTGTGGCTCATGACATCGTGGGTAGCTAGACTGCGCAAGGATATTTACTTTATCTAAATTAAACACTTGCAAAATTACGACAAACTCGTAGAGGAAACAAACAAAAAATAAATAAATAAATTATTAACAGCATTGTCATCTTTCCGAACTAGAATGGACAGAAGGAATTCAAAATAATAAAAAAGGAAAACATGGGGGTTGTATATAAAACAAATAAACATAAATAAAAAATAATAATAAGAAGAAGCATATGACAAACAGACAAAGCAGATGAAGCAGCTAGATTTTCAATAAGAAAATGCTTAAATTAAAGCAACAAACAGAATATTACAGATATCAAAAGCGCGCAAGGGTATTTACTCGCAAGGCGTTGGAGAATCGTCCTCATGCTGCCTTCACAGCCACTGGAAGAAATATAATGTATGTGTGCACAATGAATCAGTTAGAATAAAAAGAGAAAGTGAACATTTTCTAATACAGTGGGTGTCTGGCCTTCAATCCCACCTCCACTGGTTTACAAGTTTTTTCAACCAATCCCTATACTGTCTTTATTCATAATGTTGTTTTTACCTCTTCCTCCCAGTGTCTGAGCAAACAGTTTTATGTTTTTCTAATACTCTCTAACTCCAGATTTGATGTGAGGTACTTTCATTTGATTTGACACATTTAAGTTAATGCATTGCAACATCTTGAAATAAATTGAAATAATAAAACTATAGGTTTATTTTTATTATTATTATTTTAAATTCAGGGGCCCTGTGATCAGATAACATAGCAAAGCTCACTAAGGTCCTTATCCCATCTGTTCATGTTGCTCTTATAAATCAGATGTTGGCTGTGTCAACTACGGAAATAGTCATGGTATTTATTACTATCAAGGATGTGAAGTCATGTGTTGCCATTCGACATGGTGCTGTTATGTATTTTAGAGCGCCAATGACAAGACTGCTACACCTTTTCCATGCATTAGCTCAAAGGAGCCCTGGGCTGCATTGATTCTAAAGCACAGCTGCCGTCAGCATACATTTAATTAAGCTATTCTCCAAACAAACTAATGGTAAATGATTCATTTTAACTAGAAAGGTCAATCTTTATTAGAGAATACTTGAAGGCATCAACTCTCTCTCTCTCTTTCTTCCTTTCTCTCTCTCTCTCCCCCTATCCCTCCCTCTATAGGAAGCTATACAGTATGTTGCAGTATTATTAAACTTTGATCTAATCAGAGTACTTCATGAGTTGTGTGAATTCTATGGCACCCTCAATAAGAAATATCACAGGATCCTGTAGTTCTAGTCTTGTGTGGGAGCATTGCTAAAAAACAAAATTTGTGTGTTTTGTATCAGATCATAGGGATCTATGAGGGAGTATGGTGCCTTTTAGTGGGGTACACCTCAGAAACAATCACACAGCCCTTATTACAGCTCTGCAAATCACAAAAAAGTTGTCTCTGGACACTTTACAAAGTAAGGTCTAGACTTTACTATTATGGGAGTTGGTTCCATAGGAGAGATGCTTGATAGCTAAAGGCTCTGCCTCTCATTCTGCTTCTGTGGACTCTAGGAACCACAAATAGACCTGCACTCTGAGAGCAAAGTGCTCTGTTTGGATGATAAGGCTCTACGAGGTCTTTATGATACAATGGAGCCTTGTTATTAAGGGCTTTGTATGTTAGGAGAAGGATTTTAAATTCTATTCTGAATTTTACAGGGAGCCAGTGGAGAGAAGCTAATATGGGAGAGATATGATCTCTCTTGCTAGTTCCTGTCAGTACTATGGCGGCAGCCTTTTGGATTAACTGGAGGCTTTTTAGGGGATTATTGGGACATCCTGATAGTAAAGAGTTACAGTAGTCCAGCCTGGAAGTAACAAATGCATGGACCAGTTTTTCAGCATCACTTTGAGACAGGATGCTCCTGATTTTTGCAATATTGCGCAGGTGAAAGAAGGCAGATCTAGAGACTTGGTTTATGTGTGATTTAAAGGACATATCCTGGTCAAAAATGACTCCAAGGTTCCTTACAGTAGTACTGGAGGCGAGAGCTATGTCATCTAAAGTAACTATATGATTAGACAGCAGATTTCTAACATTTTCAGGCCCAAGCACAATAACTTCAGTTTTGTCAGAGTTTAGAAGTAAGAAGTTACAGGTCATCCAGGCCTTTATGTCTTTAAGTTTGACCAGCTGATCTGATTCATTTGGCTTTTGAGTCTCATCTTTCCACAGGACATTCTCCTAGAAGGATTGTAGTTTCCTCAGGTAGGTTTTGGCAAACTCCAATCAGGCGTTTTTATATTTCTGTGTCAGCAGTGGGGCCCCCTGGGTCTCCTACCATAGCATCTCTTGTCATTCAGATGGTGACAGGTAGTGCGAGCTAACACCGTTCGACCCTGTCCCTGTAGGTCAGCCTGAATTTATTTGAAAGCTGATCAATGTTCTTTATCCACCATTCAAACAATCCTTCGTTGTAATCTTCATCTATTCTTCTCGTTTGTCCACGTCCAGGGAGATTAGCTGCAGCGCCATCAACTGTAAGCTTGTTATCTAAAACAATGTTGCGCACAGTGAACATAGGAACAACCAAATCTCTGGAGATGGACTTGTAGCCTTGAAATTGTCCAGGCTTTTTCACTATTGTGGTTCTCAAATCCTCAGACAGTTCTTTACTCTTCTTTCTTTTCTCCATGCTCAGTGTGGTCCACATGACACAAAGGTTGAATCAACTTTTCTCCATTTTAACTGGTTACAAGCGTGATTTCTATATTTCCAGAACTTGTTGGCTGCTACAGGTGAGTTTCATTACAGATTAAAGGAGCATCACATGTTTGAAATACAACTATTTCTGATGATTTTGAAAAGGTGACAATAATTCTGTCAAGTCCATTTTGGAGTTCTGCCGTTCCAATGCAAACACCAAATACCAAAGAATTTGTAATTGCAACTATTTTCTGGAGAAGTGGTGCATTATCTGACAGAAGTGCAGGGGTGCCAATATTTTGACCATGACTGTATGAGTAGATCTGCAAAACAATTTTAAACTTGCATACAAATTATATAGTTTAAAAAAAATCATGCTGTCAGTTTCAAAAAGTATTGAAATGAAAAAAAAAATCTCGACTGACAAAAGACAAGAAAAGATGCATGACATGTCATGGTAGCTCTGCAACAGAGAAATCCACTGTGAACCAGATAGCTCACAGAGTGAACACTGCCCCTGGTGGCCAGTGAGTGTATTTTTCACTTTGGCAGGATGTCATGCTTCTTTTTCCTTTTTTGGTTGTTTTGGACTAACCTTGAACTGCATACCAGCTAAGATGATTTCATCACCGGGAAAGCAGAAACATTTAAGCAATGAACCGTATATTTCATAGAAATAAATGTTATTAGTTCAAGTCAATTTGAACTTTATTTTAGTGTGGTAAGATAATAATCGGGTAATAATCACTTATCACCTCTGGTTCAATTTGCCTTCGAAATTCATTACCCTTTTTTGAATTGGTTGCATTTATATAATTTAACCGGGGGAATAAAAATAGTCACTCAGAAAAGAACAGGATATCAATGGAATTATAGATCTAAACTAATGGCACAATCTTGTTGGTTAGAGATTATTGTAAAATAATCATTTGTTTTCATCGCTTAATCTGGCCTGAAAACAACATATGATGCAACCATTTATGATTTTAAGAGGAAGGGGTCCTCTAGTATCTGTGGGTCGGGCAAAGCAGCAAATGATACCGGGACTTGCCAAGGTGCCAGATCCCTGGTTTTGACCAGATGAAGATGGGCTGAGAGATTGCTCTTGAGCAGGGCACTAATCATCTCCAGTGTGTCACTATAGGGAATATGAAATAAGACAAACTTTTATTTAACACTTTTGTGGATATTAACTTTACCTGAATTACTCTGAATTCATCAGGGTCCATATTCATTATCTAATAGGCTATATAAATGGCAACCCTTTGCCTCAAGCCAAGACTGCACAATAAAAATGACAAAATTAAAATATAAAGTGGTCTGCGTTGTTTCACCTGGTGTCCGGGATGCAACCCTAGGGTTGCTAACATTTTGAAGGGCATTTTGTGTGGGCTATCTCAAATGCTTGAGAAACTACACAAGTTTTATCTAGCAATACTGGCTTGTTAGTAGCCACTAGTTAGGAACTTCTAACAAAACTCTTTCCATTTAAAAAAAGATATATTCATGTGGTTCATTTTATGAAACTGAGTAGATAACTTTGGATGCAATCAGCCACGTGCACCTCGGGACATATGGTTTGCTGCTACATAAAATCTGATCAATCCTTCTCATGTTATTCCTGCACCATGAAAACACGTTTAATGAATAAAAGAACGATCAGTAAATCCTCCTCCCCTGTCTCGGTGTGTACCTCGACATTCCCTCAGACAGCTGACTCTTGGCTGATCTCTTAGTCCCTCTTTATTCCGCCGCCTGCTGCCATAAAAGCGCCGGGAGCTTATTGTGCGGAGTGATCTGATACGGACTACACCCAGCCGCTGTCTCTCTACCCTGGCTTTCTTTGCTGCCCCCAGCCTTGACGTTGGTCAACGTCGAAGTGTGGGTTAGATTGGAGACTCTAAAGTCGTCTCTAGGTTTCTTACCGTTTTGGCTGTTACTTGTTTAGCATCCTCACTTCCAAAGCTGTACGGAATTTTTTTATAGCATCAGGTTCTTGAATATGTCTTGGCAAAGCTACGTGGAAAACCTGATGGCCGATGGCAGCTGTCAGGATAGCGCCATTGTTGGGTATACGGACGCCAAATATGTTTGGGCAGCACATGCCGGTGGTACTTTCAACAATATCACGGTAAGAAGTCAGGATTAGGATACGGGAGTGAACGTGTGGCTCCGTTTGGCATTGTTGTTGTGTATTACTCTCGCAGACGCTCACCGGGTTGAATAGCGCTAAACCGTTATCTCTTAGGATCTAAATGACTAGCAAGCTAACGGCACGGTGCTAGCTTAGCGGGCTGGCTAGTTCATCGGTGGCCTGTCTCTGCTATTCCCTGCTAAGGAAACGCTGCTGGGTTTAGACCTCGTGTGCCTCAGATAAGACTTCATTCATTGTGACATGTACGTAAAGACATGAAGGAATTAATCTTCCTTGACAAGCACTAACTTGTTCACAATCTCTATACACTACCAAATCAACCCAAGGCTTATTTTGAACCAGCAAGTACAGTAGACTGTTTTATTAAGGGGAGCGTACATGCTTTTGTGTTCACGGCCGCTTGGATTAGCTAACATGAAGCTGCCGGCGAGCTGTAGTTGATATTTGGTTAGCCTACGATGAATCTGCTTTATTTTCAACCTAGCTACGTATTAATACGCGTATGATTTTTGTAGAGAATGACTAGGGTTTTTTTTTTAATTCACTGAAAGGGACGGCACGAGAGGTAACTGTTAGAGAGACGTCACTTTACTTCCGCTGGTCTCTGCAGCCAAATGCTGCCGGTGTTTAATTATTGCCAGGGATGTGTTTGGTTTCAGAAACTGTGGTACTAACATCGGTACATTTGCAGGTTTCCCGGTTTGATTCATAAAACATCCTCTCTCTTAATGCCAGCTCCAGGCTGGAAGTTCTGGCGTCACAGTTTTATATCCAGTACTGGTGCCAGGATAGCAGGATGTTGTTTGGAATAGGGCTGCAGCTAACTGTAACTTTCACCGTGGCTTAATCATGTGTTTTTGTTTTTATTTTATTCTTTATCATTCACTTCTCAAAGCCTCGGTACAGAACAGAATTGTATTCAGTTTGCCGTCATATGACAGAATCAGCAAGCTCTCACATTTGAGAAACTGGAACCAGCAAGTGTATGTAAAGGGCTGCAACTCACACATTTTTATTATGCTAATCTTCTAATCCTTTTCTTGATCAAACGTTTGGCTTATCAAATGTCAAACGGTGACATCACAATTCCCTATATGGCAAGGCTTAGGGTTTTTTTTTTTTTTTTTTGTTAATCTAGCCAAGAGACGTGTTTGCATCGTTGCTTGGAAAAATACAGCAATTTATGGCTTATCGAAAAGTTTCCAGTTCTCTGGTGGCCGATGAATCAATGTTGTTTCAGCCTTGTATTGAAATGATGAATTATCAGAATTTCCGCTTGTACATAGTCTGTTAGTTGACTCATCAGTGTACTGACTAATTGCCTAAGCTCTGCAGCTTGTTAGAAATTTGACAATACATTTCAAAAAAGGAAATTGAATCTCAAAAGTGAAGGTACAGCTTCATTATGGCACAAAAGTTAAACAGCCGTTATTATCATGGCTGCATAGCATGACTACATTGTATATTGCTATAAATGGTGTAGCCACTGCAATACAGGCTTTTTGAATGTACAAAGTATTACCCTTTGACATAAGTGTAATTTTTGTCCATTCTTGTGGACACAAGTTAATCTTGTAAATATTGTACCTTTCATACCTGCAGGAGTTATGGGTGCCATGTGAGCATAATTGTTGAGGATCTGACTGACTTGACATTTCCCCAATCCTGTATGTGTGTGTGTGTGTATACCCCCAGTCTCAAGAAATAGATGTCCTCATTGGTAAGGACAGGGAGACCTTTTACACCAACGGTCTCACTCTGGGCTCAAAGAAGTGTTCAGTCCTCAGAGACAGCCTCCAGGATGACGGGGACTGGACAATGGACATCAGGACAAAGAGCCAAGGAGGAGAACCTACATACAATATCTCTGTGGGAAGAGCTGGAAAAGGTAAAAGTGTATTGTATAAAGGTTCACTTCAACTAATAAAACACAGCCTTCATGGGTTAGGACACCATATTTTACATTGTGAAACATATTTATGAGAGCTATGTCACACTTAAGAGATTTGTGACTTGAGGAATTGCAGATTGGAAATTATGGATGGAACAATATATTCAAAATTCAGTATATTGCAACACAAAAACATTACAGTATTTATCATATTGTATAGCTATATATTGTGTGGTTTCTGTACACCAGCCACTTCACATTTTTCTATCAGAATGCAAGTCAGTATATCTGGTTGTTTTTTACATAATCAAACCAGTGATAGAACAGAGGAATAAGGTATAGGTATTCTGCAGCTAGTTGTACATTGTCATCGACTTTTTAGATGTATTGAGAAAAAGACGCATTGTCTTATCCCAGTAAAAATCATTGGCCTGGTTCACCAAATTTACAACAAGAGATCTTAACACATTTCAGTAACCAAAAACAAATGCTTTACTTGTGAACCACACAAGTGAGCGAGAACCCTGTTAGATTCACATATGTATGTGCTATATGCAAACTACAGGCACTTTTGAAATGTGACATTGCCACTGGGCTGTAACCAAGTTATTTTCATGATCAATTCTTAATGATCAAAATATTCAGTTTAATATACTGTAAGACTTGAAAAAGCAGAATGACATTAAATTTGTGCCCCGAAAAATGCTGATTAGTAGGTGGACAGAGAATTGATATGCAGCCGTCTGGATAACTGGCTAATTGTTAATCAACTTGAGACATCGCATGATGCACTTAGGCAAAGCTTAAAGATGCAGACCTGTCAAGATGCTGCTTACAATTACTCAGTGGTATGATTTCCATTGTAGCCCTCATGTAAGCCAGGGTTTGCCTATTCCAGTCTGTTTGCCTTTGTGGTCCTCAGTGTTTGACATTGCTCCAGTGTTTCTTACAAAGAGTTTGGGTGCTGACATGTAAGTTTTGGATAAGTGGCTACAACGTAGATGTGTATTCACGAGACTTTTTAATATATACTGTTACCCACAGCGATCACAATTCTACCAGTATGCCCCCAGTTCTCTTCAAAATATAGCAGGAAAAAAAATTTAATTGTGCAACTTAAACTTTTAAACTATATGTTTTTGTGGGAAACACTGATGGCAATTAAAACCAAAATCTATTTCTTTTATTTCCCCAACACTTCTTGCTGTTCCCTGCAGCATTTTCCACATTTCACCCTTCTGCTCTGCATGTTGTCCTCTGTGAAGGGTAGTCAAAAAGCTCAACTGGTGTGTTAGCTGAATTAACTTCTTAAAAAGTGCAGAGATGTGTCCCAGTCTTCTTTACACATATGGAGGTTAGCCTTCGCCTTAGTCCTGTGCATGCAGTCAGAATGAGCCAGTCCCTACTTGAAGTGTTGTATCCTCTTAATTTAAAAATTTTTTTTGTGTGTGTAAAATCCACTGGCTCATTAGTGTTTTGTTACTACTAGTATCTGCTCCAGAAAAGGACATTTTGTTCACTCAACTATTCCCTAGTGCTAGTGAGTTTTTTTTGTTTGTTTTGTTTTTCCAAATTTGAGTTCTTGCCATATGGAGGTCATCAGTCCAGGCTGCACTGTTGCAGGGCATGTAATGACACTACACTGTGTCTCTTGGTAAACTAGCCTGTGAACAGTCATCAATGGCATGCAGTCTGAACATTCCTGCACTACACACTTCTGGTGACTGATGCCTTTCCTTTCCTTTTTTTACCTTAACTGTCCCTTTTCTATCTCTTCTCTTTCAGTTTTGGTTCTTGTAATGGGCAAAGAAGGGGTCCATGGAGGCGGATTGAATAAGAAGGCTTACTCAATGGCAAAATACTTGAGGGATTCAGGGTTTTAATGTTTCCAAGCTCACTTAGATTAAATTGAGGGACAAAAAGAAGAGAAAAGAAATATTGCTGTTAAGATTTCTCCTGCAAGCAGTCAGTGTCTTGGAAACGTTTTAATAGCAATGAAGAGTGGTAAGATACTGTTGAAATCTTAACAAGAAAGCACATGCAATGGCTGAGTACCTGAGGAGGTCTGGATATTAAGAAACTTCGCCACCTATCATCAACTTAGCAGCTCACTCCCCCAAATCACTACATTGTTGATACTACTTCCAGGATTAGATGGCTTACAGTGTTACTTCCTCCCCAGTCTACTTTTATACACAGCCTTTTGTTTGCTTAGCCCCCTCCACCCTTTTGTTTTTTTTGTTTTTGTTTTTTGTTTTGTTATTTTTAAATCCTTCCCCACTTTAACATTGTACTTCTCATGTTTTTGGCACTACAGAAATGGTATGTTCTCTGAAATGTTTATTAACTAAAAGTGATCACAAGGTGCAATAAAAGTCTTGAAACAAATTTGGACTTGCCTTCACTTAGAAACTGGTTGATATTCCAAGGGGGAAGTACACATGTAATGGTGGTGACAGTTCGCATTGTTATGTTTTGTGGTTTTTTTGTTTTGTTCCCCCCCCATCAGCATGTGGGCATTTAAAAGTTGCATGCATACAGATCCTTGCCCTATCTCCTATCTGTCTTAGTGTAATATTCCAGCCAAGACCATCTTCTCACCTGCCTCCATCTTCAAGTCTTCACAGCCTCTGTTAAAGAAAGGACTCATTTCCTTTGACAATATCCTGTGTGTGTGTGTGTGTGTGTGTGTGTGTGTGTGTACTGGTTCGCCACCCTCAAACACGACTTCTTTTACCCTCCATCACATGCTTTTTGCTATTGTACCTGAATGTGGTCCTAAAAGTTTGATGTGGTGTTGGGCTGCTGTTTGAGGGCAGTGTCAGGTCAGCATAGCTAAAGTTTCAAGATATGTCATGATACTTGACTACATCCTGGAGTCTCAGTGGACATTCCCCCTCTGTGACAGCTCAGGTGTTTGTCAGTCAGCTCCTGCTATTTGTACATTTTGCTGTATAATCACTACACACCTATATTAAGTATTTTCTCCCGTCCCCTATGGACCAATTGTCAATATGAGAGGGTTATCAGAATTACTTGAGCTTATTCTGGTAATTGTTGGTTTCACCTGTTGACTGTAATCATTAGGACAACTTCAGATGACTGTAAAACATTAACTGCTTCTCTAGACTTCAACACTAAAGGTTTTCATCACTAAATGATTTGTTGCTAACGTAGTCCATTAACCAGTGAAAAGGCTATGTCATTTTACTACATGAATGCATTTTGACTGTAAACCCAGGGCGTTGGGCTCCGGCACCTTGGAATTTATTTGCCTTGTGCTATAGTCATCAAAGGTGTATTCACAAATTGTCATAGTACGGTACTTAGAAGTATATTAAAGAAAAAAAATGCTGTGTACACTAAACATATTGAAAATGGTGTTGGTTGGAATGAGAACATTTGTAAGTTGTCTTGTGAAAAATTTCTGACAATAACTGTGTATTCTGTGCCATAAACTCGATCTGATCTGTTGCCTAGTACAAGTTGGATTTTTAATTTTTAACAGCCCTGGCAAGAAGTAACCTTCAATGGCACTTTCCTAAGGGATATTTTGGCATCAGAAATCTCCAGACTTTGTGGAATATGTACAGAATTAAACTGAAAAATGTTTGCAAGAAATTTCTTGGAGTCAGAAATTCCTTCAGCCACAAAATCTATTACAAATGCCATGGATTGATGCGACATCTTGTTTACAGACGGATCAAATAAAAGTTATTCCAACCAGAGTTAACGCCAGTATGTCGTGTCTGTTGACTTTGAGGTATTCAACATTATTGCATTAATCATGCACTACATGAGCAGCAATGTATATTTTTGTTGGGTAGCCAGTATAGGTGGGGATCTTGTAATCTACAGCATACAGAGAAGCACTTACTCATCACAGACCATTTGTTGTTGAACTTATAGACTCCCAAGTTCTGTAATGGGAGGATCTTGAAATGTAAACAAGTTCTTCCCTGTGCTTCTGTCCTGAAAATCAGAAATAAGTGGTCTGGCTGCAGGCTGTCATTGTGTCACACAATAATTGTGAATGTTAGCACTTTTCCCAAGTTATACAGCACAATTAGGCAAATGTTTTCTTTCTCTTGGGTTCAGAATGAATGGGAAGACAGAAACCTTTTATTTCTTTCTCTTGGGTTCAGAATGAATGTGAAGACAGAAACCTTTTATCTAAATGACAGTTTAGATACTAATGTGACCTCTGGCTTTCAAGTCAGTTTATTTCTGTAGCCCATATCACAAGAGTTAATGATCAGTCCAAACAAAGGAAGACAAGTTGAATTGAGAAAAAGAATAAACTGTTATTAATGGACTGTTTTTATCCGATCAAACCATGTGAAAAAGTAAAAACCCATACAATTTTCCCAACGTCACTCCTAGGTTACTTTAGTCTTATTCATCATATCTCTTTGCTTGAGGGCTTCAAAGCTACATACTGTTAACACATTTCCTACAGTGATATAAGATGTCATGTTATATAGGCCTATGTGGTATCTTTGGAAACTTACATGTCTACTAAAATTTAAAATAAAGTGACTGGTCTGAATAATATCTGACTGCACAGCAGGAGTTTAGCCAGCCTGTTATAAAACTGTTTCTTTTAAATTCATTGACAGGATACAATGATGCTGTGCACAGTTAGCAGAATCAGAATCAGCTTTATTGGCCAGGTGCGTCGGACACACGAGGAATTTGACTTTGGTACATCAGCTCTCAATGTGTATGTACATATCCCCATGCAAGGGGCAAGTAAACAGTAAACCAGCATAAGGCTGTGTAATATAACAAAATAAGCAGTATTTACAAACAACAGACAGTTCGAACAATGCAAAATAAGCAGTATAAACAGGCCATAAACAATGTAGACAGACAAGGAATGCTCATTGTGAGTTCTTATAAAGTACTTAAAAATAGAGGCCGGCACGTGTGCACCCAGTTAGCCTCAAAAAAGACAACTATAGACACCATAACACTGAACACCTATGTTGTTTCTTTTGACAAATCATTGCTAGTTGTATTTGGTTGTGAAGGCAGTTCCTAGGTCAGTTAGGTTCTTAGGTTGTGGGCTTAAACAAAATCAAATAGTATGATTTGAAGAGCTGACAGGACTGCCAAATAGGAAGAATTTTACATTACATAGCACATTTTTCCCCGCTAGACTATTTGAGTGTCACAATGTTGAAAATTTGCCTTTTAGAAGACATTCGGGGTCATAATCTGTCACCCTGCTCTTCAGTGCAAGACTGGTAACACCTGCTGTGGCCAGGTGTTTGATTAGTTCTAATTACGACCACACCCCACATCTTCAGTCTTTAAGCCTACCTGCTTAGAGGAGACTTGAGTGTTTGTGGCACACTGCTGAGGCTATCTGCCTGTTGTGCAGTGGTTTTTCTTTGTTCCAATGGCGTGTAGCAGAAGTGGGGCCAGTAATGTTTTACTGTGTTTAGGATTTTTTGTGATTGCTAGTTCATTTTGCCATTGCGCCACGCTGACTAGGCTTAAGGCACTGGATACATTCAGAGAAAGTTCGCTGCTTAGCCAAAGTCCAGCTAAAAGAAGTGGGCTGCTTCATGGCAGACTCTTAATTGGACAAAATCCTTTACAAAGTGCTAAACTTAAAGGAATCCAGGCTGAGGGGACTCTCCTGGATGTTGATTCAAATTACCAAGCTGACATGGGTATGTAAGAGTTGGAAGTTCTGTGAAAATCCTGTGCTTAATATGCTCAAAAGCTAATGATTTGGCACCATTGTGGTCTGTGAACTTTGTGATGTTAAAAGGTTGGGAACCCAACCAACCTAAAGGATTTTCAAGGCTAAGGTCAGACACTGCAGTAGTGGAGCAGCTCCTAAAACTAGAGCCAAGGGTTGAATGTACACAAGAGTCCATGCTGCTTCAACTCCAAGATACTGTATCTACCACTGGATCTCTGTTATTTGTGGACAGGGGTAAGTTTTCATTCTCTATTGGAGTTATGCACTTGTAATTTCATCACGTACTGAAAGTATGAACAGTAGTTTCACTTTTTAAAATTGAATCTTCAGGAAGCCGCCTTTCTCCGCTGCCTCTGTCCAGGCTGCCACCAAGTTGTGGTTACACAGTCAGGTCAACACGGAAAGATTTGGTCTTGGTTGCACCTTATGATGCTTGCTTTGTTGCTCTTGAGGTGGGATACTCTGTTCTGAACACATAACATAGATGCACCATGTTACATTTGTGCACTTGTAACCTTTTTTTTTTTTTCTTGTTTTCAGGAGGACAGTTATGTTCTCCCACTGCGATGGTGTGGGGTACCAGTGAGGATGTCCTGTCCTCTGAGACAGTCTTCACTGAGACTGTCTTCACCAAACCCTCCAATGGTCACCTGTCACACTACAGGCATGGTGGTGAAAACAGAATGGGCGGTCTCTGTTGCTAATATTAAAGTAAATTGTAAGTTTTGTAAGATATAAACGTTTAGTATTGCCTGTAAGCACAATAACAGCTCATTTTGTAAGCATGCCTGACAGTAATGTGTTGTACTTTACAGTGAGTGGTAACTGGGAGCCACTGATGGAGGTGTCACCCAGCTGTGGGTTCAGTGTAGTTGCACATCCTGAGGGTGTGGTCATCTCTATTCGCTATGAACCCTGCCTGGAAGAAGAGGTACAACGCTTTTCGTTTCGAAAATTTCCACTTATGGGGGTGTGACGAGATCCTGCGATATTAAAATGTGACTTTCTCGGAGTAGGCAAAAGCTGTCCGTCAATATCAGTACGTAACAGAAGCAGGCCAGTACGAGAGTGTGACGATGCGCTGACGTTAGTCGACTAAAACGCAACTCCCTGCTGTTTTAACGCAGGGGGTGAGGGTTTGCAGGCGTGTAACCATACAGCCTTGCTATGATGAGTCGAGTGACTTCAGTCACACTTCCAGCCCGTGAGTTTTCATTGTTTCGGTTAGCCATGCTGCTAATGTAGCCTACATTTCCTTAGCACCAATGCTAGTACTAAAAAAAATGCATGGCATGCCATTTAGGTGTTTAATTGTGGCCCACACCTGACGCTGAATGCTCATGCTAACAAAGTAAACGAGTTGTCTTCCTGTGGGCGTCAAAATTCGCATCGTCCCCCTAAGTGATTGGTCAATGCAGCGCCTTTGCCGGATAATGTCACACATGGGGAGTAAAAGGTCAGAGGTTCAGTTGAGGTTTGAAGAGCCTGGCATGAAATCATGCAGGAGAGAAATGGTTTGTGGCAAAACATTTTGCATATCTTGTAATGTGTACAATTTCTACTTAAAGAACTGAAGTGACATTACAAGATTAGTTGAAACATTTCAAAATGCACTTGCATTGTTTTGCATTTTGACTTTCATGCAGACTTTTCCAGTCACTTAAGTATTTCATGTTCTCATGAGCAAGTGTATTATCACATTAACTTTTTTTTTTTCTGTTCTCATGAGCAAGTGTATTATCACACCAACTTTTTTTTTTCCTCTTCCCAGGATGGCATGTATACTGTTAAACTGATTGGAGATGGCAAAACTGAAGTTTCTTGTCCAACGCTGTTGCCAACAAAACCACATCAGCCTGATTATCCCCAGGCTCCAGTGGTGCCCATTGAGAAGCCAACTCAAAGCTATCCTAAGGGCCAAGAATACAAACCATCTCAGTCTGGTTTTTACCCCCAACCACCTGACTCTCAAACTCCCCAACTGGAACCATTGCCTGAGGAGCCTCAAGGACAAATGCACTACCCATTGTACCCGTACCCATTCCCTTATTACCCTCCATTTATGCCTCAAGATCCTTATCAAACTCCCATTCAGCAAGTCTCTACACCAGCTCCAGAAGAGGAAGTACCACAACCTGAGGCCTATGTGACTGAGTCACCCCGCATTCCAGAGCCACCACTGCCTGAAGCCAATCAGGGTCAGACATACTTGTACCCCTACCCTTTCTTTCCACAGCATGAAAGCCAGCCAGATAAGCCCACACAAAAACCTGCAGTCAAACTTCCAGATGGCCTTGAGCATCACCCCTTTAACCTGTACTACTACCCACAGCATGTAATATTACACCCTAGTACCATCATGCAGTCTTCACAAGTTCCTGCTCCAGCTAGTCACCAAATGGCCCCAGGATTTGCATTTCCACAACCTGTTAATACTGGTGTAATCACGCCAAGTTTTCACCCAGGCTATCCATATATGCCCCCTGTGTACTGCCCCCAGTTCTGCCCATCTGGATTTTCTAATTGCTGTCCACAAATTGCTTTTCATCAATATCTCAATGTTCCAGTTGGACTTGGGGGTAAAGATGCATATCAACACTATCCAGCACCGCCATTCTTCCCTTCAGTGGCACATTCTGGGTTTCCCACTGGATTTGTCCCTGCTCCTTTTCCTCAAAATTCAGCAGAAGCAGTGAAAACACAAACTGCTGCATCTGGACCCATTTTACTGCAGCAACTTCTACCTGGAAAGCACCAGCAGTCATATCTTCAGCCACCAGATGGTGACCTTGCTGCACTAGCCACAGCTAACTCCAGCAAGCATGTACATCCTAAACCAGTTTATCCTAATTTCATTCCTTATTTTGTAGATACTAATTGGCCTTATTTTTTATCAGAGGAGAAACAAAGTTCACCACAAAGCCAAACAAGTTCTAGGCCACAATATGAGCCATATTACATTCACACCCTGAAGGAGCAACAGGGTCAACTATCACCCAGAGGCATGAATAATCCCTCTGGGCCAGATTTCATGTCTTATATGAGCCAGGATCGACAGCGGCAAAATAAACCTGCAGCCAAGGAACTACAGCTACCTAAGAAAATGGCCCGTGAATCAACCAAACTTGATCAGTTTCAGGTCCCTTACTACATGAGTCAAGATGATCAAGCTCCTACTTACAGGCCTGCAGTTCCTAAGTCTGCACAGCCATTTGTGAGTGGGTCAAAGAAAAATGCTAAACGGGATGTGCCCTCCTATTCTGAACCAGGGAGTTATGTGTTGCTACAACAGGACCCACCACGTAGGGAGCTTGGCAGTTTGAGTGAATTTCCACTGAATCTGGTTCATGATCCAAATTACCTGGCACAAAATCATGCAAAGCAACACGGTAAACCCCAGCATCACCAAAATTTAAAGCCACTGCAGGAAATGCCCCAAACACCTAAATGGCTGGGGAAAGGAATGCCCAGTCCATTACCTGGTAATGCCAACTACATGCTGAAGCCTGAAGCAGAGAGTTTGCCAGTGTTTGATCTTGCTTCAGATGGCCCTCATTTTGTGCCCCTGGACCTGCCTCTGAGTGCAGAACATTCACCACCCAAATCCCCAGAGTCATCTGAAGACAAGTGGAAGTCCCTGACATCTAGACTTGATGGAAGGATTCCACCCCATGTTCCTGGAACAGCATCTCAGTAACCTTCTGCAGCTTGCTACCAAGTAAAGGGTATGTTGCCAGTGTGACTCTTTAAAACTTAATCCTTTCTTGATGCACTAATATGCTTATCTTCCAGGACTGAACCAACCTGTGCAGAGATGTGGAAATCGGAAGCAAAACGGCACTGCTATCAATGTAAATAAAATAAAATAAAAACAAACTGTTCTGAACTTGTTCCTTAATTTTTGTATGCTTTCCATGTGGGTGGGCAACAATTGGAAAGTATGAAGGTTCCCATATGGGGGCAACAATTGGAAAGTATGAAGGTTCTCATGGTTATTGACACCCCCAAGTTTGGTTTACTCATTGCTTGTTTAGCATGTCTGCTTTTTAGAACAAGGGTACATTGCCCTTGTTGAACTTGCCTTGCTTATTTTGCATAACTGAACTGGTGGTTACTGAACTTTGACAGATTCAGTAAATACACTTGCTAAGATTTACCCATTTATCAAACAGCGGTATTGATGAGTGCAACCCTAAAATCCCTACAATTGATGTTTGAAAGTAACTTAGCACAGTAATCTAATGCTACTGTAGTGTCTTGTACAATGGAACATGAATTTTACTTTCAGAGTTGGCTGCCAGGTGACTTAATTTTATATATACTGCCTAATTGCTGGCTGTTTGTAGTAACTCAGGATAAAACCTGTAACTTTGTTTTTCTACTGCTGTGGTAGCCTGTTAATGTCAGTGGGTTCACATTAGTGTCAATGTACGAGTCAAGATCAGCAAACCAGTTTTGCAACCACATTTAAAGATGTGACATGAAATGAACTGGAACCAAAATGCAAAGTCCTGTATAGGGAGGTTATCAGTTTGTCCTCATTCAACCTAATGTTGGGCCACATTCACCAACCTATTAAGGGTTTTCTCATATGTTTCTAATTTGAACATGTGTAAGTAAATTTTATATAGCACCTTTCCCAGACAAGGTCACAAAGTCAAAAGATAAAAAGAAATATACATAAGCCTAAAAGTACTCGCATAGCACAACACAATTTATAAAATGAATAAACCCAATCAAACTGTCTAAACAAATGTGACTTCAGATGTTTTTTTAAAATAGATTCAGTCATACGTAGAGTCAAGGGTAGGGCATTCCACAGTCTTGGAGCTACGACCTGTGCCAGTTGTTCCTAATTAGCATAGGTTGACACCTTGCCCATAAAAGGTGCACCAGACTGCAGGGCCGTGCACATGGGAATCTCAAACTGGGTGCATTGGGGTTTGTACATGGCTGGCTAGCTCGCTTGCTCAGGTGTGCCGTCAGTTGAGCACACCTCCTCTGCATGCACCCAGGTCCCTTCAGCTACCCTGAGTCTGATCTCGGATGTGGTCCCCAAATGCTTACACACTGGCCAAAATATTAAACACATTACAATAAATATATGCACTTAAATGTTTAAGTAGTTTGATTTGTAGCCATAATTAGTAAAGTTAAATTCTTAACCTGGATTTATAAATTGCTGTAATTTTGTGTAGGCTTTATTTTAAAAGACAATGCTTTCTAAAATAATGGGAAGTTGAAGAAATAGACAAAACGTAATGTAATTCAAATAACTGTAGAATTGAAAATTAAACCAGTTCTTTCAAGTGCATGAAAATGTGCTCCTGAGTGTGTGTGGGGTTATTAAATAAATCCCAGATAAGGAAACTGGTGAATGTCAGTCTTTGTGAAAACTTTGTAAGTGGGTTTTATAAACAGATTTGTTCTTTAGAACAGTTGGTGAATGTGGCCCATTGTCTTTCACTGACTATTACTAAATGAACAGATGTTGAAGTATTTTAAAGGATAGAAAGTCACTTTCGGCTTTTCCCGTTTTAGGGGTCACCACAGCGAATCGTCACACTGATGACTCGCATGTTGACATTTGGCACGTGTTTTACGCCGGATGCCCTTCCTGACGCAACCACTTTCCAAAATAAAGTAAGAGCACAAAATGCTTGAATACAAGATTTATTCTTTAAATGCAAATCTTTATTTTACAGGAATTTCAGGTTTATGGTCGTGATTCATCAGTTTTTAACAGTGTATTATTCCTTGTCAATGAGAAATGTATTGGTGCCATAACTGTCTTCCATGGCATACATTTATGTATCAGGCAGTGTTACTCTAGCACCAGTGTATCTGAAGGAAGCAAATACAGGGTCTGTGGGAGCTATTCATTTGAAGAATCTGACCCTTCCTGGGCACAAAGGCACAGGAGAAACTAGGCCCTTATTAGAGTGAGGCCCTTTTGAGGGAGAGGCGTCTGCTGCAGGTGTGCCATGCACTTCTCTCTTAAACATTAAAACAGGGATCTCCACACTGGATAAACATAAAATGAGGAGGGATGTATATGGATCTGTCTGAGTCGAATGCAGTGTCAGCAGCTGGAGCAGGATCTGCAGCTGGAGCGGGTTCTGCAGCTGGAGCAGGATCTGCAGCTGCAGCAGCATCAACAGCTGCAGGTGCTACAGGTACAATTTCAGCTGACTCTTTTGATTCTGAAGATAGCAGGGTGCTTAGATCAGGGTTATGGATAGTAGTTAGTTTATGGTGTTTCAGACCATGCGTGTGTGGCAGGCTCCCTCCGTGGACGTTTGGTGGCAAAGGTGCAGTTCTGTTGGCATCTACAACAGGCATCTGAAAAATTGTATGAATCAACAGAGGCTTACAAACAGCATTTTCTATATAAATGCAGGATTGTAAAGTTTGTGTCATATTTTTAGCCATCAAAATTTATTAGTAGAAGTTAAATACACTATTTTACCAGAGTGGGAAACATTTTACAGTTCACTGTGTGTGCGGTATTGGAACCTCTGGCAGTACAAAGACCCCGTTCCTGGCAGAAAAGAGAAAAACAATTTTTCCTCATTTTATGTTACTTTTGAGCCAATTTAAAGGGTGGTTTGGTGATCAGATTTCCATATTGTCTTAGATTAATTTATCAGCAGGGTTTAAAAAGTTTATGCAGAACATCATTTCAGTAACAATTCAGAGAACAACTATTCCTTCATTCTTTTAAATAATGTGTTGTTCTTGTGGAAATCTAAACTCATGCTTTGCATACTTACAGCCATGGCGTCGTTCAAGGGCACGCAGACACCATCAGTGCAATTAGCCTCACTTATAACATATTCTGCTGTATACAGTGGCCCACCAGACACAACCTGGCAAACAAGGCATTGGGAAATAATGATGTACTGATGGATGCTAATTAAAATATGCAGGTACATTCATTTCATTAAAAAAAAAATCTGAACAGATTATGCTTAAGCCCACCTGTGACAACATCCTTCCAACCTCCAGAATACTGTAAGTTTTATTCACATCTTTATTAAGGGTCGCCAGAGAAGCACTGACAAAGTTCAACGCCACCGTGTCATTTAGAGGAAGGAGCGTGTGACAACCCCTACACATGTCCTCTCTTGATTCTATATGTCATCAAACAAACACACATACAGGTTTTTTTTAGGGTTACACATGGTAAGTTCTGTACATGTTTGGTTCATATGGTTGAGAACATGATTTGAAAGCTTTACCCTCTGTTTTACACTTGAATGCAGTGACAGCCAGAGCTCCATGAACCTTCTTCAGCACCACATCGCAGTCTCCTTCCACTGCCTGAGAGGAGACAAAGAATCACTCCAAATAGCATATTTTATCCTAAAATTGTCATCAGGTCTACATTTCATTGAATTTCTGTAGGTTAAGTAAGGGATTCTGTGTACTAATGTGATGCACTCTCACCGTAAATATTTTAGGTCTGACTGTGCAATTGACAACAGGAGTGGGATCCAACACATGACAGTCTGTCTCCAGCAGGTCAATTTCCAGGACATAAATGCTGTCTCCAGTTGGCTAAGGAGGGGTAAAGTGAAACATTATTTAGTATTTTTAAAACAAAAATCTACTGCACCATACAGTTAGTTGACAGAATTCTGCAGTAAAATGCTTTTCCACCTCATGGAAAAAAGCCCCCAAAGTGAAATGTTACGGTGTTATATTTGCTTGGATAAACATGCATATGTAGTTTCCAGTGACAGTAAAAAATAGAGCTTAGTTGTTTTGATGATTCGTAATCTTTTCTCGCATGTTTGTGCACAAAGGCACTGAACACCAACAGTTTTAATTGTAGGCAGCATGGTGGCACAGTGGTTTGAGCCTCGGCCGACCCAATACCTTTCTGTGTGGACTTTGCATGTTCTCCTTGTACCTGTGTGGGTTCTCTCCAGGTACTCCGGCTTCCTCCCTCAGTCCAAAGACATGCAGTTTAGGTTGATTGGTGTCTCTAAATTGCCCATAGGAGTGAATGTGTGTGTGTTGTCTTTGTCTAAGTGTCAGCCCTGTGATAGACTGGCGACCTGTCCAGGGTGTACCTCGCCTCTCGCCCAATGTCAGCTGGGATTGGCTCCAGCCAACCCCCCTCAACCCTCTTCAGGATAAGCGGTATAGATAATGGATAGGTGGATGGATATTCTTAATTGTGTTGTTGACAGCATAAAATAACACAAATGAGAGACAGACAAAAGTACCCAACAAAATCAAATGAAAGTGTGCATATTTCCTTGACATCTTGTTATATTTTAAGCCTAGCCATTTTTGGATATGTTTTTACTACATATCTACTACTACATATTTTGCATGTCATATTATCACTTCAAATCTGAAAAAGAAGTAGCAATTTGTATGTCTTTGCCTATGCCTGCACATCTACTCCCTGACTTACGGTAATATGGATCTTGATATCCTCAATCCTGTTCAGTGCGTACTTGTACCCATGAGTGTGCTGGGCATTGAGGTATTCTTGAGCCACCAGAGCAGCCTCCTCTACTTCAGGGGAGTCACAAGGAGGCCGTAGCACATTGATCCGAGCCCATATTCCAGCCAGTAGTCCCAGAAACGCAAAGATGCCCAGGGAATTCATTTCTGTGAGAGAGGCAAGAGGTATCAGAAAGGTAAGGATGATAGGCAGAACTCATACATCCTGTGGCATATATATCCTGTACTTTAAACAGGAAATCAGAGCCAAGTTAAACACACTGATCATCCCTCCTGACTCCTGCGTCACACGAGGGTTGTGCTCTGCTTCAGGACTGCTGCCAAAACAAATATATGTTGACAAAGTCTGGCATGGAAGTTTAAATCATATTTCATTGTGTTTTTCAGTGAGACATCCACTATCACTATATTATTATAAAGCTGCCCCTAAATCTGAAAGTTTAGAAGCAACACAAAATTGTGTGAAAATCTTCATATAAAAACAACCATATTGTGCAACCAGCCGTCTCTCTCCACAGAGACAAAGAGAATGTTTGCTAACAGGGGAGCACAGCCGAAGGACACAGACACTCATGGCTTCCATCCACATATTTGCTCTATATTGAACTGAACTATACAGTTCCTTGTCCTGTCCTTGTGTCCTCTCAGTTCAGGGCCAGGATACAGAGATATTGATGAGAGGAGCACTACTAAAAACATGTAAGCAAAAAAAACAAAAAAAAAAGAAGTGTTTATTTTATATCCATTAAGAGCCTATATTACTAGGCCTAAACTGTATGTATAAGTATATTACATTATATATCCAGTCAGTGCATTTTAGAATTTGTCAGTAACATAGCCCAGTTAATTATTGCCATCCTTGCTCCCGCTGAAAACTGCACAACCTTAATAAATAAAACACAAATTTTGGCCGAAATCAACAAATCTTTCTTAACACAATCTGACTGGTTGGCGCAGGAGTGACGCATTCTACACGCGACTCTTTAAATGTGCGACAGATTGTAGACATGATGCTAAGAGTGTTGCAGGTTGAATGTGTCAAAAAAATAAATAAATAAATTTACGCGTCGTGTCTTAAATACGCCAATCCTCTAGGAGGTAGATATGACAGACCTTCAGTAGACAACAGCTGATTCTGCTCCTTGTTTTGAATGAGGCAAACGAGGCAGTGACGGTAAGCCTGAGTGGTTATGGCTAGTAGCTCACCATTTGTTAGCCCCAGCTGTTTTGTCAGTAGCTGTGGCAGCTAACGTAGCAGGGTCTTTGCTTGGGAAACACGTGCCACGAAAATATGTGTGTGGTTTGATAAACTGAGGGAAGTCAAATATTAGTCATAGTTTCTGAACTTAGTGGTGTGAAATGTGTGTGTAAACACAGGCACATGGACAGTAAGATTTTGAATTGTAATACAAAGCCTGGATAGTTTTTGAAAATGTATTTTATTTTCTTTAGTTCTTTCAGTTTTTGGATTCAAGTAAAACATTTGTGAAATGTTTTACTTCAAGGTGCAGCCAAGTACCTTGAAACAAAGTTTTTCAAGGTACTTGGCAGGTAGGTTTATCTAAGCATCTTCTGTGGATTTACTATATGCCGTGTCAGTGTCTGTCTCTAGGTGTGGGTGAGCCAACATCAGCATTTTTTCAAAAATGTAAAGTCTGCACTGAAGCTGTTTATCTCAATTATCAAGGGAGTGTTACAATTAATGAGAGCGGATCATGGTCTGGAAACCAAGCATCTCCCTGTTACAAGAAAGGCAAAATAAGACCCAGATTTAATGCAGTTGAAAATTAGCTGTTTGACTTGGACCTGCCCTCACAGCTGAAAGAATGCTCACAACTCTATGCTCACATGTGACTTTCCATCGTTCACTCTAATCAGTCTCTCGCAGATGCACCGGACACAGAGCCACCGGAGCAAGGCAAAAAACCTCAGGAGGAGGAAGGGATTCATGTCTTCTATCAACAGAGTTTCTCATCTCTCCAGGAGGGCCAAGAGACGTTTGTACTGTAAATTACAGCTTTGGATGTGGAGGAAGAGACAAGAGAGAGGCTGTTTTAGGATATTCAGAGCCAGGAAACGAGCTTGTGTCCCTTGGCTCAGTTCAAAGACACAACCACAGAAAAATAAAAGGACAGTTCCAGTGTACCACACACTAACCCTAGAAAGTTCGCAAACCACAACATCGGTCGTTGAGCCACTACTTGGGTGTGATACTGAAGCTTCAGATGACATGTTTAGAAGGCAGAATTGCCTGGTGAAGCCATGTGAATCTGTTGGTTTGTCAGAAACGTTCAGTGCTTCAAGGTCCTTGCAGAACCAGGTTATGGACACAAATGCTGCTGCAAGAGACATCAGAGAAACCACGGCAGCAGCAACGGTGCCTTCTCAAAGGACAGATACCTTTGTACAGTTTTGTGAAATTGTAGATCCTGCACAATGTTCTCACACTGTCAAGCCCCTGCTGAGTGCTGACAGCGATGCATGTGGGGGGACTGCACATTTTAATGTGCCAAGGACAGTGACACTGCCTCAAAGGCTTGAAGTTGACAAGCGATCAGGACAACACGCTACTGTCTCTCCAGGTCAGGACCAGACTGCAGACAGTGATACTGATGACAGAATGACCAGTAAGACATCTGATGTCAGTCTTAGAGCACTGACTAAAGACATCCAAGGTATATACTGTTTGATCATTTCTGTCTTCATCTTTTGGGTTCCATTTCAGTTTTTAGTGTTTTAGTGTTTTCATGTTTTTTCTAGAATTCCTTGATGACTTCTACAGAATATATGGAAGTTTCATCCCGCTACAAAAGAGCGACGTGTGGAAACACCTGAAGAGGAAGTGTAACACTGATTTCAGTGAGAGGTAAATTTTTGTCAGAAATTACAATCCAGCTGTTCTGAATGACTTCAAATTATGTTTATCTCTATGTGCATGATTCAGACATCACGACTCAACAACAGTACTTTAGTTGTATTCTTTTAAAGGCTGTGTGTTTATCGGTGTGCTGTCTGTAATGTCACTTTCGGCTTTCCCTGTTGGGGGTCGCCACAACAAATCGTCACACTGACGATTTGCATGTCGACATTTGGCACGTGTTTTATGCCAGCTGCCCTTCCTGACGAAACCCTGTCTTGAACTGAGGCCGCAGCGGCAAGAGCGCTGAATCCTAGCCACTAGTCTGGGTGTGCTGTCTGTAATGATTTTATAATGTAATGTTATATTTTCCCACTGGTGCAGGAAGAATGTGATCTTCACAGAGGTTGCCAAATACTGTGCTGCTATTCTTCAGAAACCCGTTCCCTCCTTCGGGGTGGTCTACAAGAAACACACATTGACACTGGAAGATTTGTCGACACTGGCAGATCAGAACTGGCTCAATGACCAGGTTATCAGCTAACACACCAAGAATTTCAGTTTCATGCCAGTTTTTGACTGGAAAGATGTACAAAGTCCTCAGTTTTTATGCTGAAATGTATGTATTTTCTTTCTGTTTAAGGTCATGAACATGTATGGAGAATTGATTATGGAATCTGCCCATCACAAGGTAATATAATGTTGTGTAGATACCTTAAGATAGCATAGCATGTTTTATTTATAATTGTAGCACCTGATGGATGCCAGTAACTAAAGGAACAGTTCAACATTTTGTGAAATGCATTTGTTGTCTTGATAGGCCCTAGATGAGAAAATACCATTCTCATGTCTGTACCTGTACATTAAATATCAAGCTAGTGCAGCGGCCCCTTAGCTTAGCTTTGCTTAGCACAAAGATTGGAAAGAAACGGGAAAGGCTAGCTGGCTCTGCCCAGAGGTTTTTAAAAAAATTTCCCTACTAGCACCTTCAAGCCTGCTGTTATTAAGATGTTGTGTAGTGCTGTTTAAAAGTGTAAAAATGATTTGTTATTCTGTGGGGGAATATTTCTTGGTTGGACACATCACTCTCTTGGAGTTTTATCATCAGGTTGCCAAAGGGCTCAAAACGTTGAACTGTTTCTTTAATTAATCACAGTATTTGCCTATAAACTAAACTGTGTTGCAGTCAGAGGATTTATCTCTGCCTCTTTTTAATTGAAGAACTTTAAGGCTAACAATTTTGCAACCGCCACCTGGCCCAGGTCTATTTTTTTTTAGAGGTTACCCAGTGTATTTGAATGTTGTAATCTGACTAGAATAGGGTTTAAATAAATAAAAACACCATGAACCTGCAAAACCCTAAATTAAATAGATTTTATTATTGTAGTTTTGTAACTTTTATCTCCTCCTTCTTCACCGCTAGGTCCATTTTCTCAACAGCTTCTTCCACCGGCAGCTCATGACCAAAGGATACGATGGTGTTAAGAGGTGGACAAAGCAGGTTAGACTATGATGGAAGTGATGTTTAACTTTTAACTCTATATGATCAAAGTCTTATGTGATGGGACAGACTTGAGAAAGCAGAAGAAGACAGAGTGATCCAGTTTTATTTGTATTTATTAATTTTTTTCTGCACAGGTGGATTTGTTTTCTAAGAGTTTGCTTTTGGTGCCCGTCCACCTGGAGGTTCACTGGTGTCTGGTGACGGCTGACTTTGTCAGAAAGGCAATCTGCCTGTATGACTCTCAAGGGAATGCACTGCAGAAAGTTGCAAGGGTAATAACAGATTTCTGTTATTTTTTTTTTTTTGGTCCAACACTCCTGCAGTAATCACAAGTTGTTTTTTTGTCTTGTGCTTTTCTTTATGCTTTGCTTACAATAGAACATCTTGAAATACTTGATGACGGAAGCAAGGGAGAAGCAGCAAACAGCTTTTGAAAATGGTTGGACGGCGTCATTCAATGAGGTAAGTTGCCATTGATGTTTTGTCCTGAAATGACAAGAGCTGGGCCCTGATCAATCAGTCCTCAAACCGCTCTCCAAGAACCTAATTAGCTGGGTGAGAATTAAGAAGATTATTTTAGCCTGGTATCAGAATGTTATCCTGAACCACTTAAGCCACATTTGAAGAACAGGGTGCTGGTGTCAGAGGCCACATGCAGGCTCGAGGGCTCGCCTTGTGGAATTTCACTTGACACACTCACTGACATGAAGTCTTGTCTCCCCCTGCTGTCCTTCACAGAAAATCCCCCAACAGACGAATGAAAATGACTGTGGAGTGTTTGTCTTGGAGGTACTCGTGTTCTTTTCAGGCTTTATATACATGACCGTTACTGTGTCTGGGTTGTTTTAGCTGCTTACTTGTTACATCATCACTCTATTGTGTTCTCCTTTTCAGTACTCTAGATGCCTTGCTCTAGCAAAACCACTACAGTTTTCACAGAGGGACATACCAAAGATACGTAAGAGGATCTACAAAGAGCTCTGTGACTGTAAGCTCCATGAAGAGGGCTGACAAGTATCCCACAAGTGTATGTAGGTGTTTGTTGCGGCTTCTGATTTGAGTATGAAATCGGGAAGTCCACCCTGTGTGCGAGATCACTGTCAGCTCTATAGCAGCCTTGGAGCACTGTGAGTGCAAATGGCTGGCCCCAGCAGAAGAGTGTCAGATGCACTGTTTAGACAAAATCACTGCATTTACATGATCAGTATTTAATCAGGCATGTTATTTAAGGAAAAAACATCCTATTGTTCTTGCATTTACACAGCTACAGCGGACCAACTGAGTCTTACTGGCTATTGAAATGGATCTAACGGTCCATGCCTGTGTTTAAGTGTTATTTACTCCTGAAATATCTGTGAGCCTTATTTGCATATTTTTTAAGTCTCATTTTTCATTATTAGCATCAGGGGCCTGTACCATGAAGTGAGTTAAAGTTCTCTGGTTTTATTGGGTCTAACTTTACTCAGATCAGTGGCACCATGAAGCATTTTTTTCCCCCATAATAAAAGATAACAGGATTTTAGTTTTTATTTCCAAGTGTCTCAGAACATATTATTCTGAACTGCAGGTGGAACAGGAGTGTAAAAGAATTGACAGTCATAAATCAATTAAAATGCAGCTATAGTAATATTATGTAGTGATCAATTCTCCCTTTGTTAGAAGCTTTGCTTTAAAATAGCAAACTGATGTGACTGATACATATAAAACTATCAGCTGTTCTTTATTATTTGTCACTTTATTGTAAACTATTTGTCCCTCTCAGGGTTCTGTCAGAGCGGTGAAATTTTCCAGGGATCTGAGTGGTCAGTGATCTGAGTGTCTTGATGTGATCTACTGAAATTAACCTGCTGGGTAGCACAGAGATGATGTGCTCAGATTATAGGTGCCAGAAAACCCAGGATAGCTGGACCACCTGCTAATCTCAGTTTGTGGTACTGGCCCCAGATGGCTGAGGAAAAGCTATGTTTATTTTGTTTGTGAAGAAATTTGTATAGATTATCAGTGTACAGATTTTTTTTTGTTGCATAGTAGAAATATCTGTAATAAGTTGTACATAAAAGCAGACCTTTCCAAACATCTGTTTATTTTACCTTTCCACTTTATATATCAGGTACTGTATGCACTGCATGCAGAACACACTAATTTCTCATACCATTGACAGGAGTTGCATTAAATTCCCTTGTACAGTTGTGCAATGACAATGAAGGGATCTTATAATAATACTTGCTAATAATTAAAGTGTCAAGCCTCTTCCACCAAACTGCACCTAGCATAAACATGCTTTGCTACATCTGTACCTGCACTAACACTTATGTCCCACTGTCCTGAAGTACACACCACTGCAAGAAGGCAAAACATTACAAGTAACAAGCAAAAATGCAAAGCAGAGTAAATCGTATTACTCCAGTAATTGCTAAATTATAAGCCTGACACTATTTTGGCTAAAAGATGTGATGAACGTTTGCAAATAATATTCCTTTTTGATTAGAACATACATACTGCATCCAAAGATTACCTGAATAAAGCAACTATAATATCAACACATGCATGGTGTATCTTAACAAGTACTCCACATTGCTAGATGTTTGGTAATATTTTCATTATAGGTTAAAAGCAGGTGAAGAATACAGGCAGGTGTGTAGCTCTGCTCTTCCATGCATATATTTGTTTGGTGCAGCCAGCCAGGTAGGAGGGATTAAGCTAATACACTTACAAGGTCTTACACTTTAGATGTGCTGAGAAAGAGAGACCTTCATCCAGGAGGCTAATTTGATCAACTTCAAACATTTCCCCTGATTTAAATAAGTGACAACCAAGGTCCAACTGATGAAAACAACAGGATGTGAGAATTTTGTAACGGATTGTGAACCTTCCTGAGCAGAGGCTCAAGCTGAAATTTCTTACATCTTCAGCTTTCTGTGGAGGGGAATTTTCAAACAGCTGCTACACATACACACTCTGGACCACTGACACAACTAGCTTACTGTACATGAGTGCATGTGCATGCACACATGTAATCCTCAGCTAAGTACTATTTGGCTGCAGTAACTGACTGGACCAAGGACCAGTCTTTGAATGAAGGAAACTGAAGACAGTGATTTTAATCTGGACAGTATCTCTTTCTTTAAAATGTCACTGACTAAGAGTATCCAGTCTACTCCCTAGTAATAGGCTACTAATTGTCTTACTGTTCTTTTCAGTGCTTTCTTTTACAGCTGTTTTGTGCCAGGTTTTTAGTGGCACCTACCTATATTTTATAACACAGAATTTGTGTTCATGATCCAATATGTAAAATGAAAATAACTTTTAAATGGTTCGTTTCATTTTTTTCCAATCTTCATTCACAGAATAATTGTAACTTTAGCCGTTAGATAAATGTAGTGGAGTATCAAGTAACAGTAAGTAACATAAAATAAAATAATGAAGTAAAAACATCTATCTCGAATTCTGCTAAAGTACATTAACTGGTTAATAGCAGCTAATGGAAGTATGCTAACAGCCTTCTGACTACATTACCCATGATGCCACCGTATCGCGAGCTCTGTCATGAACTTTACGATCCTGCTCGACATGTCCTTCTCGATCAATCCATGTTTGACTTTTAATGCGTTGCATACAGAATGAAGCGATGAAAGTATCAAAGCTCGCATTTCCTTCGTCGTCTGATTGCTCCTTTATTTATGTCATTACCTCTATTTACACCTCCAAACAAGAGCGTTAAGTGACTAAGCCTCAACAGCCAATGGGCGAGCGGTTTCTTACAGTGTCCGACATTTCTGGTAGGATGGAAGATGGGGCGTTACAAATATTCAGGAAATTATTGTTGCTTGTTTTCCACGTTACTTGTATCACCTGGAGTGTACTGTATGCTTTGTATGCGCGGGTCTTTACGGTATGACTGTTTTGTTTTCTTAAACGCCCCAGTATAAATACTAGACCGCAGCATATCGCACTAAGGGTCGTTTGTCAACATTCTCCTCGTAGGGGGCCCGCCCGTGATCCTGATAACATAATACTAGGGGTCCTTAAGGTGGGCAGCGAATGTGCAAATGTATTTGTCTTGGATGCTGGGAATTCAAGATAGCATTATGTTTAGTAGCTTAATTTGACGTTAGGCCTTTATAGTCGATTGAATGCAATCCTATAAAGTCTAATCAAAACCAGGTACATGGAATAGTTAGTCCCTATGCATGGTCATTTTCATCACTGTTTCTGTCTGGTTTTCAGGAGTGATTCATGGGGGTCCTTCAGACACACCAATGAAGAAAAAACCCAGAACTATTCTGCGTCCCAAACGCAGCAGGCTGGTCAGTGCCAGCAATGAATACCCTACAGAAACAGGCACTGTGCTGGACTCCAGCAGCGCCCTACCAAATTCTGAAACTGTCCCAGAGTCAGCTTCACCTGTGAAGCACCTGACTATGTCACAGCACAGTCAGAATCTCCTCAAGTTCTTGAATGAGGACCGGACCCGGCAGAAGTTCTGCGATGTGTCTGTGTCTGTGGGCGGAAAGCTCTACAATGCCCACAAGGTGGTGTTGGCCCATGGGAGCAGCTACTTCCATGCTGAGTTGTCCAGAAATCCTGCTACAACACACGTGACTCTTGACCATGTGGAGGAGTGTGTTTTCCAGCACCTGCTTGGCTTTTTGTACACTGCTAAGTGTGTTGTTGCAGTGTCAGACCTCCAGGCTCTAACTGAAGCAGCCCGGTTCCTGGACATGATGGATATATTAAAGCTGCTGTGTGAAGAAGGCCCCGTCCACCCTGTGCGTGTATTACAGGCCCAGGGTGAGGTAAGGGGGCCTCCTGAGGTGGAAATGACCTCCAGTGGCTCAACACCAGGTGAAACAGACATCCAGAGCCCATGGGATGTTCAGAGCCCCCTGTGCAGTCGCCAGTTTAGCACTGAGGACTCCCTGCAGAGCCACGTGTCCGAGAGTCACATCAATGTACAGCAAGAAACGTCAACTGAGAAAGAGGAGATGGCAGGTCAGAGAAGTTCGGTCACACGAAGATCAGCTCGCAGGAGGAAAGCACCCACCAAGTATCACAGAGACAATGTGCAGTGCACCATCAGTACTCCTGAAGAAAAACAAAGGACTGGATCACCAAAACAGCAGGATGAAGACAGAGAGGTCATTGTGGAAAACCAAATGCCCAAACTGAATTTGCATGAGGCATCTAAACCAGCTGAGGGGGATGACGCAGGGGAGGAGGAGGAGGTGGAAGAGGGAGAAGATATGAATGAAAATGTGGCTGTTCAAACGAAAAATGCCAAAGTTTGTGTAGCAGACAAGAGTGTGGATCAGCAGGGTCCAGATGGGGAAAGGACAGAGCAGCAGGCAGTCCGAGAGGTGGAAGTGCATGTGCCGGCAGCAGGAAGCTCCAACCAGAGTGCAGTATACCCTGCTGGTCTGGCTCCAGTAATCATCCAGACCTCTAGCAAGAAGACTCTCAAGTGCCCCAAATGTGACAAAACCTTTGACCGTGCAGGTGGGAACCACAGAGTAAGGTCTAGATTATTAGTATTATTATTAATGCTATCTCTTGTAGTGGGATAGTTGTATTAGGAGTATTACTCAGCTTACCATACCAGACTGTGATATCAAACACAAGAATCTGTTCATTTTTACTTGTTTTATTATTATCATCTTATATGGTTGGGGTGTAGGAATCCAGCTAACATTTATTTTCATGATGATCATTATCAATCCATCTGTTATTAAAATATTACTAATACTATAATCATAAATTTTTTTCAGTTGACTGAGCATTTGTAATTTGTAAGTTAGAAGTTTGTGAAAAATGCTCATCCACAGCCCATAATAATGTCTTCACTTTGTCACCCAAAATCTGAAGTTACTCACTTTACAATGGTATATAGTTAAAAAGCAGTGAATTCTCACATTTGAGACACTGGAACAGGCAAATATTTGGCATTTTTGCTTGATAAATAACAACTGTTAGAAATGTTAGTATTCTGCTTATTCTCCCTTTCTACTATTTAAAAAGCAAGAAGGATAAGAGCTAATTATTATTCATTGTTTTAGAAACAGCAGTGTCCTCTGACCTGATTGTCCCCCGACATTCAGTAGTCATAGCAGTGCCATGTTTATTGACAGTGACTATACTAATGTCTCAAATGTGTTCCTGAATGCTGCATTTTTCAGGGAAGTATGAAAGTCACACCAGAGTGCACACGGGAGAGAAACCATTCCAGTGTGACATTTGTCTTCAGCGTTACTCCACCAAGTCTAACCTGACTGCACATAAGAAGAAGCACACCAGCGACGCTCCCTTTCAGAAGAAGGAGCACAGATGCTCCCTCTGCAGCAAACTCCATGCCAGTAAGAAAACCCTGGCCAAACATGTCAGGAGGTGAGACATAGCAGTATCACAACAACTGGTCTACATTTCCATTAATTTTAATTGTATGAATTTAGCCATCTGAACCACATTCAATGAACATGGCTACCTTTTTTGGACACTTAATTATGACATTGTTGACTTTGCCTATACCTACACCCAATAGTTCTTTAAATTAACTATCCAACCTGTACTCTGTATACAGTATCTAAATATTATTTGAAAAAAGTTTTTTCCCCAGCAGTCACTCACTTTGAACAGTTTAGAGAATTTCAGGTTTTACTCTCTTGTTATGCTATGATAATCACTCCTTTTATATAAGTTTTCCACTGAATGGTCGACACATTCGTGCTCTTCCTGACAGTAGAACTGTGGAAGCAAATGGATTCACAGAAGATACACAGTGAGCTGCAGAGTGACACAAGTGCCAACCAACCACTACATTAACTCCTATGCATACAATATTAAGCAGGTGGTCATAATGTTATGGCTGATCGGTGTATGGCAGGATGCCAACATGCTCACAATAATGTTATGGTGATTTTTTCGCAGGTATGATGTTTATTGTGTTTACAATCAAAGTTTAGTGTCTCAGAATGAAAATTAGCACAAAACGTCTTGTCAGGTTTTAGGGAGAATGCTTAATTTGTGTAGCACTAATTCACCACTGGTTCTCTGTGACCACATTAGCTGAGCTGTATGATCCTCTTCACTGTCCTGCCAGGTTTCATCCAGAGCACATCCAAGAGTGTCTTACGAAGAGGAAGAGGAAGAGTGAAGGCTGGAAATGTGCTGTAAGGACTTGATGCACTTTTAAAATGATCTTCAAAAAATATTTTAACAATATGATAACACAGATCTACCAAACCTTTCATATAGGTGTTCAGGAGGTGTGATGATAAATGAATGCATTTTTGTAAGTAATTGATTAAGTGCATGTAATGGGAGATCATTTAACCTTTCTGATCCAGATTTGTCTGAAGACCTTCACTCGCAGGCCTCATCTGCAGGAGCACATGATCTTGCACACCCAAGACCGGCCTTTCAAATGCACCTTCTGTGACGAATATTTTAAGTCAAGGTTTGCCAGGCTGAAGCACCAAGAAAAGTACCACTTAGGTGAGAAATATACCATGAAAACTAAATTCTTAAATTAAAGATGAACCTTTTCCTTTGCTAATGAAAAAGCTTTTTAACAATTAAATACTAGATAAAATTCAGAAGATATGTGCTGTTTTTGCATCTTTCCAACCTACTGTATATTAAACTATATTCACTGCTGTAATTATGACAGCCATTAACACATTTACATTAGTCAGCAGCCATGTCACTTTTGCAGTCTGTGCATTAGACAAAATAGATTTTATCCTGTCTCATTTCCAGGTCCTTTTCCCTGTGAGATCTGTGGCCGACAGTTTAACGACACAGGCAACAGAAAGAGGCACATCGAGTGCACTCATGGAGGAAAAAGAAAGTGGACCTGCTTTGTATGTGGGAAATCAGTAAGGGAAAGGTACATCTTTCTGTGCCCCTAAACCTTTGCAACATCTTCCTGTCTCAGCACCATATTATTTTGGCCTGTGGTGATGTGTACTGTATATTATACATTATTAAAGCCTAAACTCTTATTCTGATGTGCTGAGCTACAGAATCATGTTTGATAATGATTTCCCCTTATAGGACAACACTGAGGGAGCACTTGAGAATCCACAGTGGGGAGAAGCCTCACCTCTGTAGCATCTGTGGCCAAAGTTTCCGTCATGGCAGCTCCTACAGGTGAGCCCAGTGAGATTTGAAGGTGTTTGATGTTGGTCATTGTGTTTGACTGGCTGTCATTATTATAGTGGCCTATAAATGAGCAAACTGTTCTTTGGACAGACTCCACCTCAGAGTCCACCATGATGATAAACGCTACGAGTGTGATGAATGTGGGAAGACCTTCATCCGCCATGATCACCTGACCAAACATCAGAAAATACACTCTGGTACAGTATCAGACTTTCAGCAGTGGGAGTTTCGTGTCATTCTTTGGCCTCTTCTTTTGTAGTGGGGTCTACTTCATCTCATTCAAGCATATGAAATGTCTTATTATAACAAAGTGCTGTGGGAAATACTGTTAACTTTACGCTTCCTCCAAGCAGCAGTTATTTAATGCAGGCTGTGTTCATTACAGATGAGAAAGCACACCAGTGTGAAGAATGTGGAAAGTGCTTCAGGCGCCATGATCATCTGACAGTCCACTACAAAAGTGTTCATCTAGGAGAGAAAGTCTGGCAGAAGTATGTTATCATGTAAACCACAAGTAATAGTTTCTTTTGTTTTTGGCAATGTTGTACAAGTGGTAATATCAAAATTTGGCAAATATTCTCAGTTTTCTTTGTCTCTTAATGAAGTTTTTTTTTCACAGGTATAAAACCGCTGTGCATCAGTGTGAGGTTTGCAAAAAAGAATTTAAAGGAAAGTCCAGTCTAGAAATGCACTTCAGGACTCACTCAGGTAAACAAAGATGTCAGGGGATAAACATGTTATTAAAGGCATATTTTAAAACGGCATAAAATGAATAATATTACAAAATGGAATTATATATGAGTTTGACCAATATTACTTAAGTTTGGCTGAAGCTACTGAAATGTAAACTTCCCCAAATCAAATATGGAGCAGAACTGTTATCATAACTTTCTACTAATCCTGTCTTTTACACAGTGGATGTTCCAGTCCAGAAAAAGGAAATGCTGAAATTCATTACTTGAGTTTTTGGTTTGGGAAATGTGATACCATGAGACCAGCCTCCTGACTCCATAGATACCGCACTGTTATTGTTAGCCTATTGGCCCCTGCCTGTAATTTGAGGATCACTGTTATCCACACAGGTTTTATGAGAGATGCCATTCCTTATCCAACCCTACTGTGTTATTTAGGCATGGAACTGGTACATAGAGTGCACTAGCTTGTGCAACCATAGTAGCTGGGTATAGCCACTCTAGCTGGTGGTGGCGGTCCCCCATCCAAGCGCTACTCAAATCCAACCCTGCTTAACTTCTCAAATTTTACACAACCGGGACGGCGTGGCTACTCTGTGGATACGGAGTACTGCTCTTAATAGAGCCCCTTACACTTTGTTTCAGCATATAGAGAAATCTAAAGCTTGACAGGCCTGAGCTATGCTAAGCTATGATTGGACAATTGCTCTCCTGAATGAGCTTCCTCAACGTGACTCTTACTTTTAAAAGTGAGTGTGCAATAAAATACACTGACACTGTGTTGATGTGACAGGTGAGCACTAGCTTGGCCAACCATAGTAGTGGGGTATAGCCCCTCTAGCTGGTGGTGGCGGTCCCCCATCCAAGCGCTACTCAAATCCAACCCTGCTTAACTTCTCAAATTTTACACAACCGGGACGGCGTGGCTACTCTGTGGATACGGAGTACTGCTCTTAATAGAGCCCCTTACACTTTGTTTCAGCATATAGAGAAATCTAAAGCTTGACAGGCCTGAGCTATGCTAAGCTATGATTGGACAACTGCTCTCCTGAATGAGCTTCCTCAACGTGACTCTTACTTTTAAAAGTGAGTGTGCAATAAAATACACTGACACTGTGTTGATGTGACAGGTGAGAAACCCCACAGATGTCCTGAGTGCCATCAGACATTTCGGATCAAGAAGACCTTGACAAAGCACATGGTGATTCATTCAGATGCTCGTCCTTTTAACTGTCCTCACTGCAGCGCCACCTTTAAAAGAAAAGACAAGCTCAAGTACCACGTTGACCATGTGCACAGCGCCCGGTTTACTGAGCAGCCCCTCAGCACACTCAGCGAGGACAAAATAGTCTCCGTTCCTTTTGAGGACACCTCAAAGACATACCATGTCGAACCTAAGTCAGCCCTCCAGAGAACCTCCCCTTCCACCAGTGTCTGCGTGCCTGTCAATTTAGTTCCTGTCCAGATGGCAGGAGGAGCTCAGGGGGACTTGAACACTCACGGGGCTTCATCTCTCTCCTCCCGGCCTCACAGTGTTTCAAGCATGCAGGCTCAAGGACAGCAGCAGAACTCCAGCTACCAGCCTGCTACAGATCTGGCGTTCTTAGAGAAGTACACCCTCACCCCCCAGCCTGCTAACATCGTCCACCCTGTGAGGCCTGACCAGATGCTGGACACCCGAGAGCAGTCCTATATAGGCACACTGCTGGGACTGGATTCAGCTTCCTCTGTGCAGAACATTTCCGGCTCTGATCAAATACACTGATGCTACTCAGCCAAAACGTTGGCCATTAAAGGCACAGCTCCACAAACTTACCCAGACATTTAAATCAGAAGAGCAGAAGCTACGGTGTTCACCACAACAACAGACTCAAGATGGGACAATTTTTTTCATGTAAAATGATTTTAGACCAAAACTACACAGTTTTGACCCTGGTGCAGCATATGATGATGTTCAGTCTGTCCTCCCAGGAAAGTTTTTTTTTGCTTTTATAATTGGTTTAATCAATTAGTAGAAACATGAATTACTGTTTTGATAAACTAATAGATCATTCATCCATCATTTGGTCTGAATTAATTAGTTTACCAAATATCTCTACTGATAATAAAAAAAACATTAACATTAAGCTTGTAAAACTGAGGATACTTAAACTAAGAGGCCTTAACATATGTTACAACCTGTCAGTCAGATGTGTTGGGTTATAATAGGTTGTAATAGGTTAGGACATGGTTTATCACTCATGCTACATACATACTGTATTAGCCCAGTGACTAAGTATTTAGAAGTTGATGTACTTATGAATGTTGGCTAGTACCTAATTTTAAATAGACATTAAAATGTGATTTTAACAAATGAAACTTTTTTAGTAACTCACGAGTGGAAAAACAAAAAAAGCAGTAAAGTGGAATGTAAACAAAGTAATAAACTACTGGTTGACTCTTAGGGTGATTCTGCTGGTGGATTTATCTGTTTGGCAGCAGTTGCAGACATCTAAGTGTTGGATAAATCCGCCTCATAATCTGAAACAGTTGTGATGCTCTTCTCAAACTCTGTGTCATGATTAATAAAATCAGAATTTAAGATATTGTATGTAAGTTAAGAAATGCAAAACCAATTGCTCCTCTGGTGGCAATGTAGACAAAACAGAGGTAAAAACTGCAAATACAACTGTAAAAAGATTACTGCTGAAATTGCAGTCCAAATTTTATTCTGGCCATTTTCAGAGCTTTTAGCAAACAAACGGATTCCTACATTTTGCAGGAATTCACTGAGCAAAATGAGAAACAACAAATGGTTTGTGAAAAACCCGGCATGGTTTGTCAAAGCATAATCATACTGCAACTTCAAGGTTCCAGGTTGGCATTTGTTTTCAGTCAGCAGTGAGCGAATCCAAAGGCAGCAGCTTCTTCCTCATTGTGATACAGCCTTAGCAAAGGTTCTGGTTACATGACAGAGGGTTTACAGACATTAAACAATACTTAAACATAACTGTAAATTAAAAAGATCAGTAGTATTAGTTCATATGAGACACTTTCAGATGGAAATGAGCATCAGCATAAATACAGTGTTTCGTTGAGTCAGGAGCAACACTCACCGTTTTAATTTGTGCCCAGTTACAGCCTAAAAATAAAGAAACACAGCAGTGAATATATGAAGTGGTTAATTTACATAGAAATGAGATATTAACCAAATGTGCATGTCTGCCCCTTGGTTTTAGTGCATAGAACTGTAATCTGTAACTGCACAGATATACAGTAGTATCCACTATTAAAACACAGTGTATGGTCGAAAAACTACTGTATAAGAAAACAGCCCCTAGTTTTTTTTGCTACAAATAAAACATCTTACAGTTCAACAGCTTAAAGGGACATCTGGACAACTGTTGAAATGTTTACTTTCTTTCAGAGTTAGATGAGAAGCTCAGTTGAGCCTGATCTGTGTCTTTATGGTAGATATGAAGCTGGAGCCAGCTTTATATTTGTTAAAGGGAGTGATGTAGTGGAGGTCAATGTGTTGTACAATACAGAATGTAAACAGGAGAAATGTTTTTTTTTCCAGAAATGAATAGAATGATGGGAAAATGCTAGATGAGTGATTGCACTAAGATACACATGCTAATGGATGCTAACCCAGATGTCATCACCAGGTATCAGGTAACTGACAGAGACTTCTAGTCAAAGATAGACATAAACCCCCAAATAGACCCAGTTTTGCTTTTACACCAGGCCATCCTGGGCGTGCTGGCCCTGGGTCCTGGGTCCTGGTTCAGCGGTCTGATCACTAGTCGATCATACCTCAGGAACGCGATGTCCCCCTTCGCCCTGGCCTCCTTTAACTTCGGCATCAAATCCCTTCTTTTCATCCTCACATACTCGGTGTAATCTTCATTTATGTAAATGTTAGATCCTTTGAGCTTCTTCGCTTGTTGCAATATTTGTGTCTTATCTTTCTCTTTCATCAACTTCACCAGTACCGCCCTAGGTCCACGATCCGTAGGTTTCCCAATTCTGTGAGCCCGGTCCATCTCAATCTCTTGATGAATTTGCAGATTATTTTTCAGAATCTCCTTCACTTTACCTTCTGCCTCCGACCAGCTTTCTCCAGTTGTCTCCATGATTCCCTCAAAGATCAGGTTTTTTCGCTTGGACTGTGCTTCCAGACGCTCCATTCTGTCTGTTGTAGTCATTAAACTCTCACACGTTCTGTAAACCTCCTCCTTTGCTTCCTTGGCGTGTATTTTCTGTTCACCCATGGTAGCCTTTATCACAGCCACCTCTCGCTGGGTAAACTGCAGACTCGTTTTTATCTCCTGTATTTCTCTGGTCATTTCATTTCATTTTTAAACCATCAAGGTTATAAGGTTAATAAAGCATCTGACAGTTGCCTAAATAAGACATAACATTTTTGAAAATTTGGTATTTAATAGTTATGTTTAGATTAAAGTGGAAGATTTAAAGTATAGTGAATGTGCTGATATCACCAGCAAGCGTGCACATAATGTAACAGTCTAATTGCCAGATTTTATCTTTTTGGACTTTTAAGCATTTTCTCTGTACCGTCCTTGAGAAAATGTTTTTTGTCATTTTTACGTCTCATCTACTCTTGACCAATTTCTTTTTTTGTTGCAACACAAAACAGCATGTTAACAGAGCAGTACACTGAAGACAAAATAATGAATGTAGGACAAAAGAAAAGAAAACATGGGTTGATTTACTTAACCAATTTTCTGAAATATATCCTAAGTCACCGTCAGCTTTTATGCAACCTGTCTTTTTACAATGTAAAAATGAAAAAAATGAGAAAACTTTAAAAAGCAATTCAACTGGCTACAACATCTTTTTTCATGTTTTCTCCATTGCAAGCTTTTAAGTTGTAATAATGTAGCATAACAAGTTAAAATTACTTAAAATTAGGAGACAGGTCAGGATGAATGATGTTCACACATCCTTACAGGTACTAAGATAATCTTATTGTGTGCTATAACTGTGGTGTTTAAACACTTACCAACTTGTCAACTGTTGATCTATTGCTTGTAAACACCTACCTATACACTGTGGTTGATGAGACCATTTGCCATTGTCACATGTGCTTGTTGCCCACCAACCCTTCACTACTGGTTTACGTCCATCATGACACGTATAGGTCAGCTTTGTTCCATGAGAATAAATCGCTTGTTTTGGAGCAAAGAAACCACCATCCAGTCTGGGAGCACGACAGGACTCTGCTGCACTTTGTGCTAAAATACAACGATAAGCAATATTGCATTTCAGCAACTGTGTTTTTAACAAATGTAAATAATTGGAGTTGAAATTCTCCAATGTTCCTACCATGTAGCACTCAAGAGAACCAAATCAAAAGAACAAATCCTTGATGCCCATTTTTCAGGAATGAAATAATCTCATAACAAAGCAGAGCTAATATAGTCCAGATCACAACCAGTTAATTATTGCTGAGGGCCTTCCCACAAAAGGTTTGCAGAGCAAACACCCAGGTATCATGCTGCTGGTCTGTAGCCAATAAAGGGACACAGATACAGGACATATATATAGAAAAGTAGAAACAACACATGTAGTCTTTTTCCTGTTTTTAAGCATATAAAACCTGTGAAGAAGCCCCTGGCTTTACACAAACCTTTTTGGTCAAATTAGTTTTGAAATACTAATTATTGTTTTTATGAGAAATATTTGGAAAACTCCACATTCAGATCAGTAAACTTTTCACAGCTGTCTTATTTAAATGAAGTTTTTAACAAACATAAGCTTTGTGTTTAGTTTTGCTTCCTGACTTCAGATAACACTGTTTATTAAGTTCAAAGGCCATGAAGAATTTCACTGAAATGCATTTGATTATTTAGAGTCCAAATTTCAAACTGATTTACTGGACTGGTGTGGTCGGAGGTCAGTTTTGTAACGTCCCAGATATAACCATTTACTACTACTTTAAAAAGCAATTCAACTGGCTACACTGACTACTACTGTAGTTTAACCAATCAGAGACTTGTTGTCCTATTAATCTTAATATCAATAGTTATTATTTTGATGGTGAAACATCATGATTTGTGCTTCTGCATCAATGATGCTTAGGCAGCCATTTTGTAGCATTTAAAATGTATGGCCAGTACTTATCAATATATTTAATGGAAGGACTATTCTACATCACTTGTAAATGAAATAAGACAAAGATCTCTGTTGAAATTTCTAAAAAACATTTTATTCAGGCCACTGTTAGCTATACATAGCTCTGTTTATGTGTTCAAAGTATTGATCGTGTTATTGGTGCACAGTCATAAAGAAACAAGCTGAATGGCAAAGAACAGCCAGCTCCAACTTTGCTTGTGTATAATTGTTAACAGCAATAACTGGCTTAAAATAAATCAAATACAAATGTGACAACATTTTTCCAGGTGTAGCTGTTTTCTGTGGGAGGCATTTCAGAAGTTTCCAGCTTGGCTTTTATTGCCAGTCGGTGGTGAGTGAACAGGCGGCAGCTGTTCCTGTGCTGTGCTTTAATAGCAAAGTCCCTGGTATTAGTGTGTAATAAGCATTTCACTGGTATTTCAACAACATTTGTTCCCTTTGCACAATACAGGGCCTGAAGTTACTGCATGTCTGGGAATGTTCTTGTACAGGGACTTGGTGTTTTACCTGACTGGGTCTAAACTACAAGCAGCCAGCCTGTGAAGCCCCCCCGTGGCAGTGGATGATCAGCTCGTCCAT